CAAAAATCATTATATTAGAACTGAAACAAATCCGTTCCATTAATTCAAGTGTTTGTTTATGTTAAAGAATCTTGCGCTTTGCCGCGTAGCATAACCAGAGTTTGCTGCAGGTACGAGTTCTCAGGCATCACACCGGCCTCCTATCAATTTTGTCATGGATCTTACAGAAAGTGTCTTTAACTTGACCTAACCCGTGGCCGCAGAGCGATCGGCCCCCTAGCCTGTCCTAGCCGCAGCGCTCGGCCCAGAGAGTGGATCTTAACTAACCTAATCCGTGGCCGCAGCGCTCGGCCCCCTTATAGCCTGTCCTAGCCGCAGCGTTCGGCCCAGAAAGTGTCTTAACCTAACCTAACTCTAAATAATACTAAATAAATACTAATTTGGTCATGTACAAAATTGATAGGAGGGGGGGGGGGGAGTCCAAAAACCGTTCACTAGGACAGACCCAATTATAATGTAATGAAATTGAAACATATGACCCACTTCGTAAAAGAGACGTCGATGAATTCTAGTCGATGTGACCCTGGTTTGTGAAGTCGACAAGTAATTATCAGCACACAATATTGTTCTTCGAGCTTGTGCAGCCTATTCTCAAAAAACATCTTTACCATCTTTATGTGCCAATGGCGAAATTGTCAGATAAATAATTCTGGACATTGTTTGCCTTCGGTCTGTCGGAGACTACATGTTTGCAGGGTTGTTTCGTAGTATCATGAAGCCCAACCCTAATTAGAATCCTCTATAACCACTTGACCTTTTAGCTGTTGTGGGTTTCATGTGTGACGGGGTGGTCGAAATGTTGTAAATCTGATCTTAAAGATTTCCTATCCTTGGCGCAGGATCTTGGGATTTAAGGTCTATCTCAGAATCCATTAGTATCTGGCTTTTATAATCTTCCTGATCATGACACAACTCATAAACAGATCAATCAGCCTGCACAGGATACTGAAGATCTTTTCAACCTTTTCAATAAACCTGTTAATTCTAAAGGAGAGAAAAATAGATAAGTGATCAATTTGATGATATATCGAAAAGAAAATTAAACTAGAAACAGAGTTTGACCCTCTTTGCACCGAAAAGTAAGACAAGAAGACCACCAGTTAGGTTGAAGGACAACCTAATGCCCGAGATACCAGAGGAGGTCTTTGATAAGGACGGGAATGAGGGATATGATTCTACCGACTCAGAACGCATTGAACCTGTTAATCTGGTTTGTCAGCTGATAGAGGACCTGGAGTCAAGGTTGAACTGCAGTCTTTCTATAATAGAGATCAACCTAAAGTAGGATTGTAGTATCAGTCTACCATGAGATTAACCTAAGGTAGGATTGTAATATCAGTCTACCATAGATTCAACCTAAAGTAGAATTGTAGTATCAGTCTACCATGAGATCAACCTATTAAGTTGGATTATAATATCAGTCTACCATAGATTCAACCTAAAGTAGGATTGTAGTATCAGTCTACCATAGATTCAACCTAAAGTAGAATTGTAGTATCAGTCTACCATGAGATCAACCTTAAGTAGGATTGTAGTATAAGTCTACCATGAGATCAACCTAAAGTAGGATTGTAGTGTCAGTCTACCATAGAGTCAACCTAAAGTCAGTCTACCATAAGAGATCAACCTAAAGTTGTGCTATAGTTTCAGCCAACCAAAATCTTCGAGTGTCAAAATTATAATCAGAAATATAACGGATAAGAAAAATAAATTCCCTCTTTTTTCCGCCTTTTTTCCCTCACTCATCCGCTTTTTTTCAAAATGAAAAATATGCACCATTGAAATTTTAGTAAAATTTTAATTAACGAAATTACGTTTTTCATTTCTAAAATTTGATTTCTTGCCACGAAGGTTTATGCAAGCAGGTTGCAAAGATCTATAGGGATTAGAAAATTCGAGTTCGTAGCAAGAATAGAAATACAGAAATGTTCAGTTAAGTTCATTATTCACATTAAATTCGTTGTCGTCTTCCGTCTTCATAGAAACATACAACTCAATCTTAGTATCAATATTTTAATTTTAATTTTGTATTTATTTTTCAATAAATTTACATCAAATAGGCAATAGCTGATAATCTTGTCATAGCTCATGTATCCATATGTTAGTAATAACATTAAGTAAAGAGTTAAGAAACTGAGCCCTTGCCACAAACTCAAATTTTCTAATCCCTATATCTTTTCAACCTGATGGTGTAAACTTTAGATACTTAAAAATTAGGCTATTTGATCAAACAGAATTCACATATTCTAAAATATCCAAGTTCCATCGACATTGGGGGGCAACGTTAAAGGGATTATAAACATCTGAGTCTCTGTCAAGAATTCAGTAGTGCAACTATAATATCTGTTTGCAAAACATAGTTCAGCTACAAATCAGTTTTTATGGTTATATGGTTGGTTATAGCTTCTATAAATCAATTTGTATGAAAGATGAATATTTTTAAAAGAAAAAGTAATTGTTTTGGTTTCATGGCATCTTAATTATTTGATCGTTGCGACAAGTTCAACCTTTTATTAAAATTAATAATTGTAATATCTCGTGCTTTGTAGTTGAATAAAAATACGAAATATGAAATGAATAAATAAGACAATTAACAATATTGAGTATGGTATATATGGTGTCCCAATAAACACGGGAATTGAGTGACGATTTCGATATTGTCTTCCTAAAAGATATTTTGATTGAAGAATGGTGATTCCTACTGGAAAAGCTCAGAGCTGTAATTCAAAGATGTTTCGTCTGCCTAGAGTTAAAATTTTTTGTTTTTGATTTAATTGCATGCTGTCGTACATTTAGTAAAACGAGGAATTCTTTTTTAAAAAAACAGATTTGTATTCGTTACTTAATTCCGAAGTTAATTGGGATACCCTGCATAAAAAAGTTGCTTGATCAAAGCTCTGTTCTTTTCTCCACTTGAATGTCGTCATACATTCCCAGATTACTAATCCCGCTTAGGGCTGGTTTAGGTCTATCATCTCTAGGTCCCCACTGAGAGCTGGGAGTAAGGAGAGGGCCGGATCTCAGGAACGCCGCCTCTCCAGGGTCCTCACCCATAAACTTTTTGATGACTGAAACCAGCCCCAGGACGAGAGGGATTGCAAGAGGGAAAAGTTCAATAAGCCAACCCAGCACCTGGATTCCATCCGGAAACTCATAACCTTAATAATGGATCATATCAGGGGTAAATATTTTTATGGAAAATAACAATCCCCCACCCTCTGATTGAAAGTTATTTTTTTCAAAGCGTTAACAATTCCTAAGAGTTTGATTCGATGCATTGGGAACAATTAATGAACTTTTGGGACAAAAGTATCAACTTGCCTTTTTTATGCAATTTTTTCATCGTTTCCCCAGAGTATCAAAAATAACATTTAAATCAACTGAGCTTCCATCATTGATTTAAATCAAATTGAGGCATCACATAAAAATTGAGCCGGATCGGCTCATCCGTTTTGACGGTTATTGGATACAATCATAAAACCAACAGTCAAGCAAAGTATATATATAAAGATAAGATATTAATATTCACTATACGCAGCAAATATAAATACATACAATATAGGTAAGGTAGTAAAACAAGGATTTGTCGCTTTAATTACTGATAATATAATGTTACAATGGTGTCCCATATCATATTAGATCGTCAATGGGTCTGAACTACGATTTGAGGGACTAATCAGAAAATTTAGGAAGAAAGAATCATTTTGAAAAATTTAATGAGGCTAATATAAAATGTTCTTGCAAAAGATGTTAGGTTTTTCGAGTATCGTGTGTTTATTTTGGCTTCAGTAAAGAATGTACAAAGAGTCCCCAAAAATGGAAAATGAGTAAAAACTTTCGAAATCATGTGTTCCGCCTGTTATGTACCTTTAAAAATGACGAAGCTAACACCAAGTTTGCCTCAGTTTCAATATATTTTGAGATTTAAATATTTATTACGTAAAATGGTTTTAAATGTATTCAATACATCTATTTTAATGCAGTGAAACAATTAAGAACGATGAACAATACCTGGAATAGAAAACAGTTGATAAGACTGAGAAGACGACTTGAAACTCTTTAAATATGACGATTTCAAACTTAATAAAGTCTTGAATCTTGAATTTAATCTTTTAATCTCTTGGAGATAATATAAGATGATATGGGACGTGAGCTCTGTACGTGGTAATCGAATGGAAAGAAGCAATATTTATTTAATTTTGAAATTATGATGATATATGCATAATGTAGAACAAAAACGTGTTTTTAGATTAAATGTTTTTTTTGATGTGGGTCAATTTTTAACTCTCCTCTCCACCTTCCCATAATAAAATAATTAAACATTTTTAAATATTGCAAGCTTAGAAGTTAGAGCTATATTTTAAGTGAGAAAAATGTTTTTTAAGGGACAAGTAAAAAAAAAAATTCTCATATTTTGATATCTTGAAATACTGAATTCAGAAACGAGTATACTATTTTAATACTTTTAATTTGATTGCTATTATATATATAAGATTCATCCAATTTTAATATTTTTAATTTAATTGGTGTTATCATGGATATAAGATACATTCAATTTTAATATTTTTAACTTAATTGGTGATATAGATATAAGATACATCCAATTTTTAATTTGATTGATGTTATAAATATAAGATACATTTTGAATATTTTTAGTTTAGCTATTTGTAATAAATATTAAAAAGTGAACATGCATCTAATTATATTATATTTAGTTAAACTTAGTTTTTATTTGGGGAGTTTGTCGCCGCAATTTAATCTGATGCATGAAATGACATCCTTGTGTTGATCCCTAGTCAAATATTTTAAAGTATAATTTTCTTATCATTTATTACTTGCCCATTGAGTTATTTACTGCAATCCCAATCAAAATATTAAAAAGTAGATTAAATATATACAACTAATTCTCTATTCTAATATATTTGAACAATACAATTCCAGGATTATTTCAAGGTTGTGTCATCTTTAATTTCATTGTATTACACATTAATATATTCTTGTGTTTTTGGGACTGTAAGACTAATATTTTTTAAAACAGTTTTTTTATTTGTTGTTTCTCTACAAAAGTTAATTTTTTTGATTAAGAAACAATTAAGAAATTATCAGAATTAAACACGTTTGAATACAGAAAAAAACGTTATCTTCCATATTCGTAGATCAGATTCAGGTTTTAAGTGTATCGGTGTGAATCGGACACTTCTTTTTATATGGAGGGTCATTTTAAATCACAACTAAAGCCTCTTTAAGGAGTATAAATTGTATAAAAATAATGAGACTAATTGGTTGAGTTTCGGGAGTTTCGGCGAAAGGAATCATAGGAGGCGGGTTTAAAACGTAAAATTTGTGTCGTTTTACAACAAAAAAAAAATTTTTTTTTCAGAGATTTAGCTAGAAAGCAAAACACAAATATGCTTCATTTGAAAAATTGTACATATTAAGATTGAATTTGCACTTTAAAAAGTGTTGTAAGGAATTTTTCACTGAGGAAAAACCAGGGGGCGGGCATAACTCTCCTAATTTTGACTGGCTTATAGGTTTATACTGTACAGTGAATTTTGTCAATGGGAAAAACCGATAAAAGTGAAAATGAACGGCATCATTCTTTGTTGCTGATTTGGTTCAGATGCAATTTATCCTTCAAATTATAGATCCATTCAGAAGCGTACACGGGGGGGGATACAAAAGTAAACCCCTTTCTCCAAAATAGGGGGTGCAACGATAATCCCCCCCCCCCCTACTTTAAATAAAATAATGATATTAGCATTTAATTTTGTTTTCCAATTGTAATCTATCTGTGTTCAAATAGCTCCAGAAACAATTGTTTACATAAAGAGATACCAAACTTAATCATGTTTGAAAAATATTGGTCCTGCGACAAGAGCAGAAGAAGGGCAAATTAGGTATGGCTCGTTGAAGTTCTTCTTCTCAAATGTGCACTCTCTTTTTGTTTTTCATATATATATATGAAATTTATATGTATATCCGCAATATGTTCTAGTTTATGTTCTAAAAATGCAATTGTTTAACTTTTTCAGAAATGTTTTGCCTTAGTTTAAATATTGTCAAGGTAATTTTTAAATTGGTAGCAGTGAACATATATGAAACAAAGAAATTTTTCTCTGCATGCCCTAAATAGATCAAATTCAAACGAATATGGATGCTTATACCCCAACGGAAAAATTCCTGTGTACGCCCCAGGATCCATTACAAATTTAACTGTTAAAAATTATTTAATTTTCTCACCCTCTGTTCCAGACGGGACTCTATCTAAGAACAACGTGATGATGACAATGATGAGCATCAAAGGGTTAAGGAAGGCCCAGCAGAAGATAAAAAAACCTCGAAAGGGTTGAGGCATCCAGATCTTCATTTCATCTGAATAAAATAAACTGTAAATCGCAAAATGCTAGTTTTTTCAGATTAATATCTTTAAGTATCAAAAATATAAATTGAAAAGAGTAGGAAAAATCTATGTATTTATAAGTAAAAGTAACAGCTTTGCTATGTACCTATTATGATTGAATATTTGCTCCTAAAGTTTAAGAAAAGTTTTAAAAGGTTATTATTTAAACCATTAATTATAGAAGAATTAACACAACATGTGTTGAAAAGTTTTTGTCTGAACGTAACAACTGTAAAATAATTAGCAGAAATGTGAATATTAGCTTTTCTGAACCCTTTCCATTTACATTCCAAAGATACGTACTTAAAATCAAAGATTTGTTATTGCAAAAAGTGTACTGCAGTTTTTGGGAGAATTTTAAACAATCTTTTAATTTCTAACATTTCACTTTTTTAAACCTATTAACACCGTAGAATCATGAGATGGCGATAATCTCTAGGAAATTGTTACCTTTGTTATCCATGACCCTATTAACACCGTAGAATCATGATATGGTGATAATCTCTTGGAAGTTGTTACCTATGTTATCCATAAACCTATTAACTCCGGAGAACCAGATAATCTCTAGGAAATTGTTACCTTTGTTATCCATGACCCTATTAACACCGTAGAATCATGATATGGTGATAATCTCTTGGAAGTTGTTACCTATGTTATCCATGACCCTATTAACTCCGGAGAACCATGATATGGTGATAATCTCTAGGAAGTTGTTACCTATGTTATCCATAAACCTATTAACTCCGGAGAACCATGATATGGTGATAATCTCTAGGAAGTTGTTACCTATGTTAACCATGAACCTATTAACAAGAACCATGAGATGTTATCCATGAACCTATTAACCCCGTAGAACCATAAGACGGCGATAACCTCTAAGAAGTTGTTACCTATGTTATCCATGAACCTATTAATACCTTAGAACCATGCGACAGCGATAATTTAGGAAGTTGGTACCTATGTTATCCATGAACCTATTAACCCAGTAGAACCACAAGACCGTGATAACCTCTAGGAAGTTGTTACCTATGTTATCCATGAACCTATTAACACCGTAGAACAACGAGACGGTGATAACATCTAAGAAGTTGTTACCTATGTTATCCATGAACCTATTAACCCCGTAGAACCATGTTGTTACCTATGTTATCCATGAACCTATTAACCCCGTAGAACCATGATATGGTGATAACATCTAAGAAGTTGTTACCTATGTTATCCATGAACCTATTAACCCCGTAGAACCATGCGACAGTGATAACCTCTAGGAAGGCTAGGTACACGATAGAGTTAGATATCCTGTCATTCAACAAGTTGAACATAAAGTAGCCTAAACACATCAATTAAACATTTCAGATTAAAAATTCTAATCTAGGTTGGGAACTTTTGAATAAGTACGAGCTAAGCTAAGACATTCGCTAACGGAGTTTAAGCCAATATATTTGTAAAAATATAAATGTAAAGATTTCCCGATCTCACAATAGTCGAATGCAAACTTTTTCGAATTCGTCGAATGTACGAAATTTAACTCACATAAAAGAAGCTAAAAAAGGTTAGGAGTTAATCTCGATCATTGAGACCTTATGCATTTAAAAGTTCTGTTCTGTTCTGATAAAATAAAAATTTTATTTTAACCAAGCAACAAAAGTTCTTTGAAAAAAATCTAACTAAAAACAAAAAACATTGAAAAGATTTCAAAATTACAGCTTCTAATGTTTAGATGTCTCACCAGATTGGAAGCAACAAGAAATGCCGCAAATAAATCCCACAAGGCAGCATGAAAGATAAACCTAAGTATATAATATTGTACACTACAGGGGTACCACACAAAGGATAAACATTTAGAGACGACCGTACGGAATTCATTTAGTTTTTTCTTACATTAATGGTTTTCTATGGCTTTAAGCGTTAAGCTTTCATTTATCATTTTTACACCTTTAAAAGACACACATTTAAGAACCAAGGAATTGAGTCTTTGACTCAAACCCTGATTTTCTAAACCCTATATCTGTGCAACCCAATGTTGTGCGGTAAATATTTTAAACTAAGAATTATGTAGATCAAATAAATATAAGATTAAAATCTCAAAGGTGTTCACAATCAGGTTGCAAAGATGCAGGGATTATAAAATATGAGTTTGTGGCAAAGACTCATTTCTGTCAGCTTTCAGATTGTCAGAATGGGACAAGTTTCAGGTCGTTAATTAAGTCTCATTCTTTATTGGTAACCTTGTACTATAACTTAAGCACTAATCAAGGTTTTAAACAAAATAAAGCGTAATCTAATTTGAATATTGAAAACTTATCAAAACACAAATTTTAAGCATTTTTGTCATTTTCTAGACTTGGCAGTTTTTGCTTAGATGCATGTGGTGCTGATAAAAAGTAGAATCAAATCAAATGACTGAAAATTTCACATTTTAGTATATTATACATATTTACAATACATGTATTGATTTTTAAAGATTTTAAGATTTTTAACATAGATTATTTAATCTTTTGCAAAAGAGAATTTCCGTTTTTCAGATAAAATAAAACTTTGAATACCCAACTTTTACCAGCTATATGGAAAATAATTTTAAACCTGTGCAGTGTTATAGAAAAAGGTAAAGACTGAAAAATCCTTACAAAGAAATTGAGTCATTGCCACAAACTCTGATTTCTAATTTCTATATCTTGTCACATACCTTAGATATTTCAAACTTTAAACCCTGCTAGATAGGATAATCTAAGTTTGAAATATTACGGGTTTGCATCATCAGGTTGTCAAGATATATAGATAAGAAAAAACAGTGTTTTTTGTTAAGACTCAATTCCTTTTCTGATCCCTATATCTTGGTAACATTATTTTGTAAACCTTTGATTTTTCAAACTTATTTGATCTAACAGAATTAATAGTGTAATATTTTAAATTGGTCTACGACATTGGGTCGAAAAGATTTAGGGATTACAAAATCAGAGTTTGTGTTTCTTGTCAGCGATTCTAGCAACACATCTTTTAGACAGGGCATTGGCGACTTTTGGAACTTTTGTAGATTTAAAGGGACTGTAAAAGTAATTTCAAGTGACCCTCCATGTAGAGATGGCAATACCCGATTTACAACTGTACCCTTAAAGGCGAATTGTCAGCTCAACTTTAAATTAGAAATCAATGTTAATAATTGTGTTTGCTCTACCAAAGTGACATGCGCATTTCTTTTGCAGGAAATCAAAGGAATTATCAGAATTAAAAAATTTTAAACCTTGAAAAACGACAATATCTTCCACATTATTGATTAGAGAAAGGTTTCAAGGGTATCTTTTGAATCAGGGATTCCCGCTTTTTTAAATGCAAGGTCACTTGAAATATCGCGTACAGTCCCTTTAAGAAAACATTTTAACCTTAGATTTATGATTGCGAAGATTTGGAAAATCATCAAAAATTGCAGCAACCACTGGCTCCCAGGCGGCACTAATGGTTGACATCGCCAATAAACAGACCATGAAGAAGAACATGAAGGAGAAGAGCTGGGACGGGGACATGATAGTGACAGCTGCAGGATACGCTTGAAATGCGAGACCAGTCCCTTGCGAGACCACATCTTTCACCTCCAATCCGAGGTTGTGGGCCAACATGCCTAGAGTCCCAAACACGATAAATCCAGCAAATATTGACGTAAAGGAGTTACAGAGAGCAATCAACCAAGCGTCTCTGTGGCAGTTAGCATTGAAATCATTATAGGAGTTGAGTAAAAGTTGGCAGCCAATAGCTACTCCTAAACTATAGAAGATTTGTATGATTGCTGCAAGCCAGACACTGCTTTCAAGCAGCTTGTCCCATTGCGGGGTGATAAAAAATTTAACTCCGTCTGAAAATCCCTCTTGTTGGCTCACATAGATTAGAAATGTTGTTAGAACAACATATGGAAACACTGTGATGAAGTAGGATAGTTTTCCGTAGGAAGATATTCCTCTAATAAGCCCCAGTCCTATGATTGTCCAAGAGAGGGCCAAAGCTCCAATGATCTTCCATTGAGGTTCACCGTAGTTCTCCCAGGTATTATCAGTACCAAGACCTGTAATACCAAGAACGTATCTGTAAAAGTACTCCTCACTGGGAGTAACTCTGTTGGTTACATTGGAAAACCCTATTTCTTCCCCGCTAGTGGTGTTAACACAAGCATCGTTAGCTACGTCATAATCATAATATGAACAGAATTCCGTGTTACTGGTGCACGTAAAGTTCCAGAATGTTGTTGTATCGTTACAATTGTCCGCGTCTGATTTATAAAAACAGTTTTTGGTTCCAATTTCAGGGTCACATCGCTTCCACGGTAGTTCAGATCTCCATCCCTTTGTTGGAAATAATCAAAAACTTATTTTTATGTAAGAAGCATATTAATCACATTACTAAAAGTAATGCATGTGTCAATATCAAACACTTTAAGGTACTGACGTCAGATTTTAAGTGACCCTCCATTTAAAGAGGGACATGTCCGATTCACAATGGTGCCCTTGAAACATTAATTTGTTAATAATGTGGAGGAAAACGTGGTTTCCCTGGTTTGAGAAGTGTTTTATTCTAATAATTTCTTCATTATTTCTCAAGCAGAGAACACAAAAATGAAAACAGCTTTCCAGGGTAAAAGTATGGATAACTAATTCATACTTAATCAGGCAAAGTTTTAAAGGTACCATTGTAAATCGGACATGCCACTCAATCAATAGAGGGTCATAATTCATTTAGGAAACAAAAAACACCCCTTATTGATAAAATGGAGTTAGCTTCAACATATTGGAATGGACTTCTCCCATTAAGGTCTGTATAAGAAATACATTTTTATACTAATCAGGCTATTTTGATAATTATCAAGAACGAAAATTGGTTTAAGAATAGGTTTAAGAACTTAAAATTGTGGGTATTCACTTTTATAAGACAAAAGTCTAGTTTTCAGGTAAAGCTTGGTTACAAAGCTAGAAATGATAAAGATATGACAAGAATTTGATCGTTTCTTCCCTCAAACATGTAAATAAAAGCCCAGGCCATGATGATAGTATAGTAGAAATTGATGATCACATTGACAGCAACCATCCCGTATCCTAATCCCTTCAAACCAGGGGCTAATCTTCTAAACACCAGATTTAAGATTAAAGAACAATATCAAGATTGGTAGTTATATTCATTATGCAAAAAGAGTGGTAAACCTGTCATACAATACCAATATTTGGCTCAATGGCCAAGGGGTTTTCTTGATATCAGTATTGAAAGACAATGAGTGTTCGTATGAATTTTGAATGTGGTTGACTGTTTTTTTGCCTGACTTTAGTTATCTATTCTATAAATATATATAAATATAATCACTTTATTGTTCATTTGAGAATGATTAAAAATAGCCAACTTTCAAAGCAATAGTCAAAAGTAAAGGAGGCGTCGCTCAGTGCCCAAAAGTAATATAAGGCATCGCTCAGTGCCTAAAAGTAATATAAGGCATCGCTCAGTGCCCAAAAGTGAAACTATTTCATCTAAAATGTCAAATTCTTTTTGCACAAGCATAAAATTATACAGTTGCAACAAATATAAAAGAAAAAAAATTTAGAAAATCAAATTCAGTAATTAACAATTTAAAAAAACACAGGTCATAAGAGAGGGTCGATTTTTCATTTTTTTTCAAAAGGGTATCAAAGGATGCGTCTTGAAGTGCTGAATACGGTCCATTTTCTGCTTTTTGATATTTTAAAACATGTAGATATGGGTATCAAAGGATGCGTCTTGAAGAGCTGAATACGGTCCATTTTCTGCTTTTTGATATTCCAAAACATGTAGATATGGGTATCAAAGGATGCGTCTTGAAGAGCTGAATACGGTCCATTTTCTGCTTTTTGATATTTCAAAAATTGTTCGATAAAGGAAAAAGTCGAATTCTTTTCAGATATTCTATAAAAATTGCCTTCCAAAAACCCGTTTTTTGTTTATAACAATTTTAAGCTGTTTTACGATTTTAACGTTTATGAAATCAGTATTTCAAGGCGTACATTTTGATACCCAGCTTAATTTAGTTTGACGATTTTTTTTCTGGTTAGCATTATAAGTGATTTGATTTACACAAAAAAAAATTGAAAATTTGAAAAAATCTGAAATATTTGTTTAGACTTTATCAAAGAAAACTTTTTTCACCTATTTTCTAAATTAAAATTGTTAACAATTTTTCCAAATTAAAATTGTTAACAATATGAATAAAATGAAATAGATATTTATTCGTCTAAATTTTTCAAATTGTGCTTTTCATATACAAATATCACTTTTAACTTTGCCAATAAAAAGATTTGATATGAGTGTCCGGAAAATATTTAAAGTTATAATTAACCTGAATACCACCGTTGCACTAGTTCCTGCGTATTGTCCTAGCACCATTTCCAGGAAGAAAAGTGGGATCCCCAGGAAAAGGAGGGAGAAAAGGTAGGGGATTAAAAATGTGCCCCCTCCGTTTTCATAACAGACATAGGGAAACCTAGAAGTAAATTTTTATGTGTAAAGGAGTTGAGTCTTTGCCATAAACTCCAATTTTCTTATTTTCTAATATTTCCAACCTGAGTGCCTAAACTTTTGATTATTTGATCTAACTGAAACCATAGTTTGAAATATCTAAGGTCCACGACATTGGGTTGCAAAGATATCAGGATTAGAAAATAAAAGTTTGTGGCAAAGACTCAATTTCTTTTCATTATTCCTAAAAAGATTGATAAAACAAAACCCTTCATGCCAAGATTGCTTAATGTACGATTTAAATGGTATGTAGAAAATTCCCTACCAGGTATAGCCTTCCGTATCTGTCTTTATTCAATATCAATCCGGATACAACTGTATCATTATTCTCAGGTATCTGTCTTACAAGGTACAACTCAATCACGAATAAATAATGATACAGTATCATGATAAATCATGATACAGGTTTCATGTAGTTATTTACAAACGTAATTAATTAACAGAGGGTGTAGTTGGCTACTAACAATGTACAAAGTATGTTAAGGTTTACAGATATAGGGTTTACAACGATATTTATTACAGGTACCCATGAAAGCTTTTTCTGCTCAAGTTAAACTAGATATCAATGTTTTTGTTTCTATAACTCTAGCACTTTTTCAACTTCATTGTTGTGAACAAATTTGCCAAAAAAAAAATTTTTAATGAGGGTGGAAACTAAGAAATTGTTAATAACTTTTTTATTAATTATTACCTCCAGATATTCCCGAGACCAACTGCTAGACCTACAGATGTGAGGAAGAATTCCAGATGGTTTCCCCATTCTCCTCTTGAAGCTGGTTTCTTTTCGTTATCTACACCATTCACTTCCTCATCTTCAATCTAGAGAAAAAAGTCTTTTTAATGGAAAATAATTTGTATAGCCATTTCTGATAGTATAATCCCTATATCTTTGCAACCTGAGGTCGTTGGCATTGTTGACATTCGTTGATATTTGAAAATATAAATTTTGTTCGAGTAGTCTAAGTTTTATATATCATAGATTTACACCATCATAAAGCAAAGATTAAGCCATTACAAGCTCAATTCCATATTAAATTGTAAGTGCCATTGAAGTCGGAATTTGTGTGTGGAGTATCACCAATTTTAAACGATTGATCTCGATATCAAATGCGTTCACTTTTAAATTTGAAGATCCATGCCAAGGTAAGCCCATCACGAGATAAGATGGAGATCAAATAATGAACCAGTTATTAACTTATTCTGTTTAAAAAGCGATATAATACTGCTGCATTTTACCGTTGCTCTTCAAGCGGCCATTTTTCTTTGTAAATGATATTTCGCTAATTTCTCTTTTAAAATTTGTGTATTTCTAAATATGATAAAGGAACTGAGTTCTTGCAACAAACTCTTGTTTTTAAATCTCCATATCTTTGCAAGTCGATATAGACCTTTGATATTGCAAACTATGATTTCTGTCGGATCAAATAGTGTAAGTTTAGATATCAAAGGTTTACTTCATCAAGTTGCAATGATATGGGGATTAGAAAATTTAAGTTTCTAAAAAGAACTTATAGTTCCTATCGACCTTCTCTGGAATCTTGTCAGCTCCCACAAAATATGACGTTTCAACGTTTATTGGAAACAAAATGACAGATGCAGAAAAACCAAGTTTATATAATGAAGAAGATACCTGTGGAAAATATCCTCCTGATTCCTCCGAACTAATACTTTGCTTCTTATTCTGCTCCTCATCTATTTTAACTTCCTTCGCTTTCCTACCAAAAGCTGCAGAATCATCGAAAGCTTCCTATAGAAATAGGAGTGTTAAAGAATTTGGTTCATTTAAAAAAAAAATTCAAGAAAAATTCAAAATTCTATCATTTTAAAACTGTATTCTGTTAAACCTTGCTCTTTTAAAAATTTGTAATATTTTTACACTTAAAGAAAATTTTAAGAAAAAAATTAAACAAAATACAATCACTTAAAAAATATCGTTTTTGGTATTTTTTTGTTACTGCATATTTCTCTTAGGGTTTAAGTTTGGTAGAGTGTAATAAAGACGCAAATGTTTAGAATATATGATTTAGAAATTTCTAAGACTTCTCAGGTTTGTTGTGAATCCTTTTTAAAGTCCAAAACCCCTCAAAAAGGAACTAAAACGATTAACAACCCTTCCTGGAATTTCAGCGTTACATCTCCAGGAACATCTCTTGGGGGAGAGGGTTCCTCGGGAACATCCCTTGGGGGAGAGGGTTCCTCGGGAACATCCCTCGGGGAAGAGGGTTCCTCGGGAACATCCCTCGGGGAAGAGGGTTCCTCGGGAACATCCCTCGGGGAAGAGGGTTCCTTCGAGTCCATTTTAAATACGGCAATATAAGCGTTTAGATGCCCACTGAAAGAGTTTAGATATGGCACTGAAAGAGTTTAGATATGGCACTGAAAGAGTATAAATGCGGCACTAACATAGTTTAGATGCGGAACTGAAATAGTTAAGATGTGAAATTGAAATAGTTGAGATGCGGAACTAAAAGAGTTTATGATGCGTAACTTAAAGTGTTTAGATGAGGCACTGACAGAGTTTAAATGTGGCACTGAAAAAGTTCAGATGCGGAACTGAAAGAGTTCAGATGCGGAAATGAAAGAGTTCAGACGCCGAACTGAAAGAGTTTAGATGTCAATTAAAAGGATTTAGATGTGAACTAACAGAAAAATAGCAAAAAAATGTCCCCCTGGAATACTTTTAAATGGTATTTGGTGAATACTGATGAATACTGGTGAGTAATCGTGAAAAATGGTGAATATGGTGTAAACTGTGAATAATGGTGAATAATGGTGAATAATGGTGAATACTGGTGAGTACTGGTGAATAATTGTGAATACTGGTTAATACTGGTGAATACTGGTGAATACTGGTGAATACTGGCGATTACTAGTGAATAATGGTAAATACTGGTGAATACTGTAGAATACTGGTGAATAATGGTGAATAATGTTGAGTACTGGTTAATACTGGTGAATGCCGGTGAATACTGGCGAGTAATAGTGAATAATGGTAAATTCTGGTGAATACTGGTGAATATTGGTGAGTACTGGTGAATATTGGTGAATACTGGTAAATACTAGCGAGTACTGGTGAATAATGGTGTATACTAATGAATAATGGTGAATACTGGTTAATAATGGGTGAATAATGGTGAATATCCATTTTTACAAATAATGTGAATACTGGTAAGTACTGGTAAATAATGGTGAATACTGGTGAGTACTGGTGAATACTGCTGATTACTGGTGAATACTGGTGAATAATGGTGAATAATGATGAATACTGGTGAATAATAGTGAATACCGGTGAATAATGGTGAAATCTGGTGAATAATGGGCAACACTGGCGAATATCCATTTAACAACGTGTGTGCCCTTCTCTATAAAAAGAATGTCTTCTACCACGTATCAAGTTACAAATACTTTTATTCCGTGCAATACGGTCATATCTACACTTTTATACAGGTAAACAATTTATACATACATCTATCAACTTATCTATAAAAAAATATGCTCTGTAGAAAACATGACACTTTTCACATTGGTAAATATGGTATTCAACCAATATTATTCATAATAGTTTAAGATGTTGTGCTTTCTATGAGAGAGTATGAAGCTTACTAAACCTGGAGAGTAATATTAATAAAGACTGTGATAATCTCCAGCAAGATTGATTCAAAATAAGGTTGTAAAACAACTTGTTTGCTCATGATATGACCTCAGAAGTCAGGACGATAAAATGATACTGTATCAGACTCAAATATTTACAAAATAATGATCGATTCATATTTTGGATAAAAAATCTTTTTTTTTGGGCTCACAATTTATTTAAAAAAATTGTGAATATCAAAAATGCCCATTTCTGGCTATACACAGGAAATACTAAAGCGCGAAGCAACTAATATTTGTATTGCTCTTACAAGGGCTAAACAAATTCACACAGTTCTCCGCGGAGTTAGTGACAGGTAATAAGGGATTGTAAGCGTAATTTCAAGTGAACCTCCTTGCAAAGATGGCATTGCCCGATTTACAACGGTACCTATGAAACCTTAATCTGATCAGAAATGCGGAAGTTAACGTCGAAATGGGTTTAATCCTGATAATTTCTCCAGTCTTTCCTCTAAGCAAGAAATGGGCAAGTCACTTTTGAAGATGAAGCCACAAGTAAAAATAATCAGTTTTCAAATACAAATCATGGTGTTCTAATTCATACCTGATCATACAAAGCGTTTAATGCTACCGTTGTCTTGTAAATCGGGCATTGTCATCTTTGCTTTGAGGGTCACTTGAGATTATGCTTACAATCCCTTCAAGCACTGTGTTTTGGTTTATTTATGTGATGTGAACCAATTTCTTTTCATAGCAACCGACATATACTTTACTAGAGTAGTTTCAAGTGACCCTACATGCAAAGATGACAATGCCCGATTTACAACGGTACTCTTGAAATCTTTTCCTGATCAAGTATAAATAACATATTCATGTTTTTGTTTCTTTAAACACAGACCGAATTTAAAGAATTTGAGCCGCGGCTTAAATTTGAGACGTGGCTCAAATATGGTTGGTTCCACTTAAAATTAAATTTAATGTTTCAAGATATAAGCCGGCGCTCAATTGAAACCGGTTTTTGGTGGATTTGAGGTGCGGCTCGAATTCATAAAATTCGGACTCAGTTTATTTTAATTTGTCGGTTCTCTGCAAAAGTGGCTCGCGCATTTCTTGCTAATAAAAAGCCAAAGATGAATTGTCAGAATTAAACATTCTTTGAGTCTGGAAAACGACGGTATCTTCCACATTTTTATCAGGGTACCGTTGCAAATCGGGTATTGCCATCTTTCCATGTAGGGTTACTTGACTTACAGTCCCTTCAAGTGCAATTTCACTAAAAAAAAACAATAAAAGGGGATAATTTATTTGGCGTACAGTCCCGCTTTGCCTCATATAGTCTGTATTTGTACTCTACTGCTTGCCCTGGCTAGTTGAACTTCGGCCCGGTACATGAAATGAACTGAAATGTACCGTGTTTATGAGTTCAGATTGTTAAATTTTTTTTGCAGATGACTGTATTTAAATAAACTTTGAAAAAAATCAGGACACTTTAACAGTTTAAAATATCATTATAAATATCATTTTTGGTGCATAATTGTTTAATGAAAGATTAACAAATTGTTACAAATCTCTTTAAAGATTACACTTTAATATATAGAGCAAGAATCCTTACATATTTACTGTGGGATTACTTCGTCACCGATTCTTAATATTTCTGGCGTTTTTACACTTTCTTTTATTGCACCTTTACGTTTAATTTATTTGAAAGGCCCATGACATATTTGGGGGATAAAGTAAAGCTTATAATTCTTCAACAATTAGACAAATTAATGGGTGTGGGGGGGGGGAATATTATTAGACAAATTAATGGGTGTGGGGGGGAATATTATTTCCCGTTCAGTCATATCTTTGGGGCAGGTTGAAAATATGTATACATCTAGTCATTTTATTAAAAAGCGCAAAATTGCATAATTGATAACTTTTTATCGCAATTATAAACAATTTTTCAATTTTCATTACGCAAAATGTGTACTGCCATTAACCTAACCTAGCTACGTCTGTAAATATTTATGTCAAACCTGTATTGTGATTAGCTTAACTATGCTTGTATATTACGGCGCGAAACTTGTAATTACTTCCATTAACTTAACCTCTAAAAACAAAATATACGCTTTGATTATGGTGTGAGAGTAATTGTTTCTTGGTTAGCGAACGAAAAGTCTTTCTTGAAAGATAGATATAGATTGGGAATCACATTGAGTTGTATCTTGTAAGACAGATACCTCAGAATACAGACTGAGTGTATCTAGATTGATATTGACTATGGTATTCATGTGAACCTTGAGTGCCTGTTTTAGTTGTATCTTGTAAGACAGATACCTTGGAATACAGCCTATGCTGTATCTGGATTGATATTAACTATGGTATTTGTGAGGAACCTCCAGTTCTAGATTGAGTTGTACCTGGATTGGTACTCGTCTATAATCATTTATTGGAGTAGGGCATTTACTACAAAAGTGGTAGAAGCGGTGAGAATAAGGAACCCTAGCTAAGTGCCACAGACTCCAAAGAAGAAAAGTACAGTGATTATTACAGATATAGAAGAAACTGTGTCAGAAGAAGAAACAGTAACAGTGCAGCAACAAGTTAGGATTGCTACCAGTGCGTATAGAGTACCAGAAGTAAATAATACTATAGTGTAAATAAACAGTGTTCCAGAGTGTAACAGAGGACAGTTTTAAATTGTAATTTTAAAGAGTACCTAGTTAAAAATCGGATACCAGAGTATCAGAATGAACAGAATACTAGATATGATGAAGCTAGAGATGCAAACGGTGAGAAAGATTAAAAGAGTGATGGCAATGTTGGAGCAGAATACGAAGTTAGACAGCAAACAATAATACATAGAGCATTTGAGGAATTATCCCCAAATACATGCTGGAGCAACAACCATCTATCCGACGATTTCATAGGAAATATGAAGCTAGTCTTGATAAGAGAATATAGTGTTTCGTAGAGAGTGTTCCAACGAATAGTGGCAACCCGGAGAAAGTGTTAGAATGGTGTGAGAATTTGGAAAATCATTTGTTTAACCATAAATGGGAAACAATCCCAAATGAAGCAATGAAAGTGATGCTGTGGTCCTGCATCACAGGATCAGCTAGAAAAGAGATAGTGCTGTTTCGTCCTACAGGGTATCATTTAAGAACTGTGAAATAGGAGTTTTTTTTCCAGAGCTGTTGAAGAAAGCGAGAAAGGACTAAAACAGCAATATTTGGACAGGAAACAGGAATATTTGAATAGGAAACAGGAAAGTGGTGAATATTATATTGACATGGGGAAGGAGCAGCAACAGGAAAGCGAGATTAAGGCGGTCCTAGAATGCCAGCTATAATCATGATAGAAATGAGTTAAAAACTACATATATAAATAGTTTTGAGATAGTAGAGAACAGCAAGAGAGCTGATAAGATGTGGGGAACAGGAAATATTAACAAGGAACCAGCTTCCTGTGATAATTCAGGAAAAGAAGAATAGATATCACATGATTGCGGAAATGAGGAGCAGGACTCAGGGTATATGGCGTAAACTGCCCAAAAATCAAAATTGGGGTGGTATGGTGTTTTTCCCCCATGCAGTTTCTGTGCATCAAAATGTCACTTAATAAGAAAATCATGACCACATGTTTTTTCTGTGTGTCTATGCGTTTTTAAGTGTAAAGATTCAAATCTCTTAAAAAGTTTGATTTCATTTGTCAAAAGCGTAGTTGTAATTGCACCCCGCAACCGACGAGTTTTCCGACGCTCTAACACCCTCGCTCGTGAAGTGATTGGGCTGAAACTTTCAGTGGAGACTCTCCTTACCCAGGCCTAGGCCGCCCTTAAGTTTGGTTAAGATCGGATAACTTTGTAAATGTGTGACACACCGGCACACACGAACCAGGCCAGAATTATGCACTCCATCATATTGTATTTGTTGCCCCGCCTTGAGTTTTTAAGTGATCAGGCTGCAACTGTCAGGGTACCCTTTCCGATGCCCGGCCGAGCCTGCCTCCTTGTTTGGTAGAGATCCAACAAGTGTCGGATTCCTGCACCCTGCGACCGCCAATTGTCCGATGAAATTGTATCCTTTGGTCTGCCTTGAGTTTTCAAGGGATCAGGCTTAAACTTTCAGGGTACCCTCTCCTTTCCCATTGCTAGCTTGTATTCATTTTTGTCCTTTGTGACTACCTTTGTAAGTGGGTCGGTCGCCCAAGCCTCTGAAGTTGAACCTCTTTCTGGGTACCCGCTGTGAAGCGGTTGAGCATAATGGATTTTATTGCTGCCTCCTTCATTGCTTAATTGATCCTGCTGAAACTTTCAGGGTACCCTCTCCAATGTCCGGCCTTGGCAGGCTCCAAGTTTAGTAGAGATGGGCGTCTCTACGTTTCCAAGTGCAAAGATTCAAGTCTCTTAAAAAATTACAAACATTGATATTTATTTCATACTTAATCATACAAAGCTTTAAAGGGCACCGTTGTGAATCGGGCATTGCCTTTTTTTGTGTGGAAGGTCACTTGAAATTACAAAGTACAGTCCCTTATTGAAAATTGTTTTAAAACTGTATTAAAATTTAACATATCAACCAAAAAAGAAATATTCTCATCTGTGTATAAAGGCATTTCTAATAAGGTAATATTAATAAAAAAAGAGACCTTGGAAACCCATGATTTTGTGCAAAAACTAAATTTTGTCCTCAATTCAAATGAAAACAAGTATTTTAAAATGTAAATCGGAAAGACGTTGGTTTTAAAATCTGCAAAGACTACTTGTTTGCAAAAGTCGAATATTAAGTAAAATGCGTTCAAAAGGTTAAAAAAAAATTAACCAAAAAACAAGCTAATTTTTATGTGAGGTTGGAATCTTTCGCAGAAAACATAAGACTCTATTTTCGTAATCTATTTGTTTAATCCGTCAGAATACAAAAGAAACGGATTAGTGCTGTCTGAAGGGATTAACCATATATAAGTTTCGACCTGTTTGACCATACAATCGTCACAAACTTGTGTTTAAAGTCTTTAAGCTTGGATTAAGTTCAAATCACACGGATTTGGGCTTTTATATGTACTTCTGATATCATAATATTATAATCTACATAATAAAGCTTTTCACTCATATATAATATGTTAGCTCAGTTAGCTCATATATAATATGTTAGCTCAGTTAGCTCATATATAATATGTTAGCTCAGTTAGCTATAGATGTCCAAACGACGGCATCAAATTGGCTAAATTTTTTTAAACAGAAAATATATCGAAAGTGTGTGTTGAAGCTGAATCAGCACTACATTTACCTTCAATCAGCTTGTCAAGACATGGGCAAAAAAACTTACTACAACTACACTGGAGCTAAATTTTATTTTCTCTCAAAATTATCAGAATTAAGGACAGTCAACAGAAGGAAAAGAAAAAAAGAAAGAAGAGAAACGATGACAAGAAGAAGAATCAAATCAGGATTTGTCTGAATCAACTGAATCCAAGTTTTAAGATTAAAAAATCAAAAATAACAAATTGTTAGAAAGTGTCTGTGCAAAGTGTCTCCGGTCATAGATATCTTTCAAAAGTAAGACTAATACCAATGAATAGCTAATAGGCTAATTAGTTTACCGTGAAAGGAATTAAGTCTTGCCACAAACTCTAATCTTTTAATCCCTATATCTTTGCATTCTTACGGTGTAGACCTTTACTATTTGAAACTTAGATTGTTTTATCATAGTTCATTCATAGTTTGAAATATGTAAGCTTCCGACATTGGGGTGCAAAGAAAGAGGAATTACAAAATCGGAATTTGTGCCAAAGACTCAATTCATTTCACAAAAAGGTTAACGGTCCCATCAAGGTTTACAACATCAGGTTGCAAAGACACAGGGATTTGGAAATTTGATTTTGCGAGAAAGACTCAGATTTTGTGCAATGTTTGAAATGTAAAACCTGCATAAAAATATGCAGAATGACTCATCATAGTTTAATCACAAATTTTTATTTACTGGATTTCCGAGTTTAACTTTTAAATCGTTGCTGATTTATTGATTCTTTATGGATTTAAAGAAAAATGTCGGCCAATATCTTCAATTCTTTCCCTGTGGTTATGTCAGGTCCCACACTAAATTTGGGCCCGACCGGTTAGTCGTTTTGACGTTTATCGGATACAAATATACAAACAAAGACCCAGACAAGCAAAGTAAAAATATTTAGAGTATTAGCAAAAAAATATTTTATTTATTCTTAGAAAGCTTCATTTAAAATTCCATCTATTTCAAGTTTAGGTCTGTCCTCTCTAGGTCCCCACTTAGAGCTCGGGGACAGTAGAGGACCAGATCTTAGGAATGCGGCCTCTCTAGGCTGTCCTCGGAGGATCCTTCGTCCTGCTGAATAGAGGCCGAGGATGAGAGGTATTGAAAGGGGGAAGAACTCTATGAGCCAACCCAGAATCTGTATGTGCTCTGGGTAGACATATCCTACAATAAACATCATTTACAAGCTCTAATTTTCTAATTCCTATATCTTTGCAACCTGATGGTTTAAACCCTGGATATTTTAAACTTAGATTATTTGATAAGTTAAAAATATCTAAGGTCTACGACATAGGGTTGATATAAGGAATAGAAAATAAGAGTTTGTGGCAAAGCCTTAAATTTTTAAAAACATTTTGTTCAAGATTATAAAACAAAATCTTTCAAAAATACTGTTGGTATACGTTCGACATTGCGAATAATATGATTGGATTTAGAAATTATGACCGAATGTAAAAACATTCTGCTTGTTTTTTTAACAAAATGTTTAGAAATGCTGTCAGTAAGTTCGATATAAAGAAGAAAATGATATTGAATACCTTCTGTACTATCTGGTAATCTACCCAGGTTGAACATGATATTAAATACCTTCTGTACTATCTGGTAGTCTATCCAGGTTGAACATGATATTGAATACCTTCTGTACTATCTGGTAATCTATCCAGGTTGAACATAATATTGAATACCTTCTGTACTATCTGGTAGTCTATCCAGGTTGAACATGATATTGAATACCTTCTGTACTATCTGGTAGTCTATCCGGGTTGAACATGATATTGAATACCTTCTGTACTATATGGTAGTCTATCCGGGTTGAAAATGATATTGAATACCTTCTGTACTATCTGGTAATCTATCCAGGTTGAAAATGATATTGAATACCTTCTGTACTATATGGTAGTCTATCCGGGTTGAACATGATATTGAATACCTTCTGTACTATCTGGTAATCTATCCAGGTTGAAAATGATGAGAATTGTGATAAGAAGAAGAGGATTAATGATTGACCAACAAAAAGTAAAAAACCATTTAAATATTCGGGGCATCCATATATCCATCTCTTCTAAACAAACAAAATATAAAAGAAATTTTTCATAAATATCTATATATTTTTTTTGTTCATTTTTTTACTATTTTTCTGATGCTAGTATTTTTAGATAATCAAAACTTAAATAAAGAAATTCAAATTCATACAGGGTGAGTAAAAAAAAGTGTGATTTGCGGAGCCTGGTGCAAAATTGTACCTTTTTGTGCAACTCTCCTGTATGGTGTTTTTCAATATTTTTGAAAATTTGTAATTTTTTTTTGGTACTTCAATGGCCCAAAATAAAATCCGTAAAACTTTTTTCTCTGAAAATAAAAAGTTCAGAAACGCAAAAATGTGTATATAAATTTTTTAAAGGTTGAATCCAAGAATTTATGTTTAAAATGTACAATGTACATTGTTTTTATCTGCAATTCTCATTCGTTTATAGTGGGCCAACCAATTAAAACAACCTACTCTGGTTAGGCGGGTCCAAACTACATAGTAAATTGTGATTTTTTATTTGTATTATCTCGTGCTTTGTAGTTGAATAAAAATATGAAAATATGAATCACAGAAAATTCACAATTTTTAACTCTGGTCTAATTTTTAAGGAAAAGTTATTTAAATTCTCTAGTTTCTTTCTTCTTAGTATATTCTAAAGCATTAAATAAACGCTGTTTAGTTGAAACCTGAAGAACCTTGAAAAACAAGGTACAATTTTGCATCAGGCGCCGTAAATCACACTTTTTTTGACTCACCCTGTATATCTTTTCAAACTAATGTCGTAGTGATCGTTTGGACTATTGATATTTCTCACAAGACTACAGAGTCAGAATTTAAATGAATTTGCAGAGCTTAGTCTTAAATCCGCCAAAAACTCTGGTTTTAATTGAGCGCCAGCTTAAATACTGAAACATTCAATACAATTTTAAGTGGAACAAACCATATTTGAGCCGCGGCTCAAATTAATTACAACTACAGGACAGTTTAAAGGTAATTTCACTTTATCAAGGGTTTCCAAGTCCAATCTTGGTCAGGGAAACCCTTGAATAAATAAAATCTTAAATTTTTTGCAATTTTTTTTATAAAGTTGTTTTCAGTTTTTTATGTTTAACAGAATTGTAAAAAAAACTAAAGAATGGGGAAGTTAAAAACTTACTTTGTCCCTAGAGGCATACATCACACCCATCCATACTATTTAAAAAGATGTCAATTATGAGCCGAGTAAATATACCTATATTTGAGATAAACTTATTAACTCCGTAGAACCATGCAACAGTTATAACTTCAAGTAGAGCTGTGTACACAATAGAATACGATATTCTGTCATTCAGTAGATTAAACATAAAGTATCCTGTAATATAATATATCAATGATTAAACATAAAGTATCCTGTAATATAATATATCAATGATTAAACATAAAGTATCCTGTAATATAATATATCAATGATTACACATAAAGTATCCTGTAATATAATATATCAATGATTTAACATAAAGTATCCTGTAATATAATATATCAATGATTTAACATAAAGTATCCTGTGATATAATATATCAATGATTAAACATAAAGTATCCTGTGATATAATATATCAATGATTAAACATAAAGTATCCTGTAATATAATATATCAATGATTAAACATAAAGTATCCTGTAATATAATATATCAATGATTTAACATAAAGTATCCTGTGATATAATATATCAATGATTAAAAATAAAGTATACAAATATAATATATCAATGATTAAACATAAAGTATCCTGTAATATAATATATCAATGATTTAACATAACGCATTCTGTAATATTGTATACTAGCTGAAATTTTTTTTTAAGATAAGAAAATCGAATTTTTATTTAGCTTTTGTCAACCCCAGGCTACCCATGAGTGTCTACAAAAATTTCACCCCATTCAGTCCAGCTGTTTGGCCGGCTATAGGGAATATATATACAAATGTCTTTTATTATATAGAACTAGCTGAAGGGCCCGGCGTTGCCCGTAGAAAATAATCATTTTTTTAGCCTATAACACCCCCCGGCCACCCATGAGTGACCACAAAAAATTTTAGCTTAATCGGTCCAACCGTTTGGCCGGCTGTACACAACATATATACGAATGTTTTGTTTTATTACATACATAGCTTCCCCTAATATTATAAATCAATGATTAAACATATATAAACATAAAGATTAAAGTAACCCTAAAAAAACCCTTATATTTGTGTTTATTTACTCAAATGAATTAACAGTCTCTTATTATTACCAAAATGTAATTTTTTTATCTTCTTTTACCTAAAAAAAGACGGTAATTTTTTAAAATTATCATGTTTTAGATTTTTAATGAAATATATTTCACAATTTTAAATAAAGTTAGAAAATTTGTACAACCCCAATTCTTTGAAAATGCCTCCTAGTCAGAATTCAGATCTTCCAAACGAATAATTATTAATAATTAAATAAGTATTCTTAAATTAAGACGTGCTTAAAATTTTGTAATGATACAAACAAATCCAATAGAAAGAACAGAGGAAACAGAGAAAAAGACAAATGCGTAATTTTTTCTAAAGGTTGTCTCAAATTTTGTTAACAATACCTTCGAAAAGTACCTGATGGAAAGCAACATGAAACCCCTCCTAGGAACCCAAGAAAGCAAGAAAAAAAATAAACCTAGAATAAAAAAATTAATTTTGATTTAAAAGGATAGAAATACTTTGTTAAGTTCAACTTTATTTTTAATTTTGCTTTCGTTCAACTATATTGCGTTTTCAATCATAATTTTAATGTAAAAAAAACTTAAATAATTAAAAAAAATTTGAAAATCATTCTTTGAAACTTGGAAACTTCATGTTTTAAATGAGAATGTGACGCTAAATAAAGGGTGTACATAAAACGGTTCGGCTTGAAAAACGTTTTTGATACTTTCAGATACTGGCAAATGAAAACTTATTTGGTCAATGCAAATTTCTTCCTTATGAGAATGTCTATGATTTACAAAATGTTCAGCTCAATATTCGTAGATTTACATAATTTTGAGAAGAAATGGTAGGTTGGAACCTTCTTTAATATACACCCTTTTAATGTACTAATTAGGAAAAAAAATAAATACGTATATACATTTATACATACGGTGAGAACCAGAAAACTGTGGAATAGGAAGAAGACATTATAGTAATACTCAGGTGTATTTGATATTGTTTCAAAGCAAATAGTTTTTCTATAGTAAGTTATTACATGATTTCTTCAGTATACATGGGTCTGTTTACACAATAGATGCACCCATGTTCATTGCACTATTTAAAGTAACAACTTGTGTCTGAAAGTCATCTTCCTATCTCAGAGCTTTCTGGTTCCCACTGTATGCCTTATTTTACATTTTAATATTTGAAATGCAAAATATGCAGATTTTAAATACAGATCAGTTATTATTAAGTTGGCGAGTTAAGTTCACATTTTCAAGAAACTGAAGTTTTATCACGACCAACTATACCCGCCCCCTCCTTTCTCCACTTTTTACCTAAAAAACGTCGCCGCAAAGTTCCCTTTTACACAGTAAAAAACATTTTCTTTACCTAAACGGAATTGAGTCTTTGCCTCAAACTCAAATTTTATAATCACTTTATCTTTGCAATCTGATGGTGTGGACCTTTGATATTTCAAACTTAGATTATTCGATCTAACAGAATTCATAGCTTGAAAATCGGAATATATAAGGTTGCAAAGATAAATGGATGAGAAAGTCGGAGTTTAAGTAAAAAACTCAATTCCTTTGATCATACAGTTGGGAGGGGGTACATGTTGCGTTGTCCCCCCCCCCCCCCCTACAAAGAAAAGCACTAACTTGTGTCTCATATTTGCGGAGTACTGGAACCTCGTCCAGCAGTGCTGCTACCACAGCTGCCCATGATGCACTTACAGTTGACATTGCCAGTAAACACACCATCAAGAAGAACATGAAGGAGAACACTTGGGGAGCATTCATGATCGTTACTGCTGCAGGATAGGCCTGAAATCAGAGTTTTAAACAAATTAAGTCTCTGCCACAAACTCTAACTTTTTAAATTTTTAAAGCTAGATCTTCGCAATCCAATGATGTAACCTTAGATATTTCAAACTATGAATTCTGTTAAATCAAATAATCTAAGTTTACAATATCCAATGTTTACACCAACAGGTGGCAAAGAATAGCGTTTAGAAAATTTCAGTTTGTGGTAAAGACTAAATTCATCTGATCAATAATGCGAAAGGTATCGTTGTTTGTCCGGCGTGAAAAGTTATAAATTTTTACAATATCTTCCTTTTTTTGCAGAAGTATATAAGAGCAATCACAATTAAAAATAACAAATTATTTTTGATCAGATAAAGCTTTGAAGGGCACCTGAGTAAATTGAACATGCCACTACATAAATGGAGAGTCACTTGATTTAACATATTCAGTGAGTAAAATCGGCAAATAAAATGTACATCTACAAAATGTGGTCTTCCATTTTATGCTGTTAAAAATACCAGAGATATTAAGAATTTTGTCATGAATTTAATAATTAAATAAAGTCATGAATTTGTCTAATCTAATTATGAAAGCAAAAATATGGCAGGACTAGTTTCTGATTATTTTTTTTATAAAAAATATTTCTAAAATGAATGCTGCAAACTAACATTTAAAAATATTTCTAAAATGAATGCTTCAATTTTATACATGTAAAAATATTTCTAAAATGAATGCCGCAAACTAATATGTAAAACATATTTCTAAAATGAATGCTGCAAACTAATAGGTAAAAAATATTTCTAAAATAAATGCTTCAAACTTCTACATGTAAAAAATATTTCTAAAATGAATGCCGTAAATTTATACATGTAAAACATATTTCTAAAATGAATGCCGCAAACTAATATGTAAAACATATTTCTAAAATGGATGCTTCAAACTTATACATGTAAAAAATATTTCTAAAATGAATGCCGCAAACGTATACATGTAAAAAATATTTCTAAAATGAATGCCGCAAACTTATACATGTAAAAAATATTTCTAAAATGAATGCCGCAAACTTATACATGTAAAAAATATTTCTAAAATGAATGCTGCAAACTTACATGTAAAAACGACTTTCAAGTCTTCAACCAATTAATTTTTGTTCCAGTTTATCTAGAAAAGCACTGTACCTGGAACGCTAAACCTGTTCCCTGAGAAACAACATCAGGAACCTCTACTCCTTGATCATGAGCAAGCATACCGAGGGTTCCAAAAACAATGAACCCGGAAAATATCGAAGTTGCAGAGTTACACATTGAAATCAACCAGGCGTCTCTGTGACAATTTGCATTAAAATCATTGTACGAACTTAGCAGCAGTTGGCATCCAATAGCGACACCAAGACTGAAGAATATTTGTGTGATAGCTTCTACCCAAACTGAGGTTTCTAAAAGCTTGTTCCAATTAGGAGTTATAAAATAATGAATTCCATCATAAAATCCCTCTTCTTGGCTAACATACACCAAAAATGTTGTCAACACCACATACGGAAAAATTGTGATGAAATAGGATAGTTTCCCGTAAGACGAGACACCCTTTGCCAGTCCAAGTGCTATGATCGTCCACGAGAGCGCCAATGCACCAATAATTTTCCACTGCGGGTCTCCGTAGTGCTCCCACGTGTTTTCAACTCCTAGGTCAGTGATCCCTAGAATAAATATCTTGAAAAATTCCTCACTAGGTGTCACACGTTTACTAACAGCAGTAAAGGCCAGGTCTTCTCCACTTGTGATATTGAGACAGGATGTATTTAATTGAGATGAACCCAAATCAAAGTTGGCACAAAATATATTTTGATCAGTACATGAAAAATTCCAGAAGGTTTGGTTTTCGTTGCATAACTGAGCTTCAGGTTTTGAATAACAATTGATAGTTCCAAACTCTGGATTACATCTTGTCCATGGTAGTTCACTTCTCCATCCCTTTAACAGTGACGTAAATACTTTACTCTTTTTAAAGGATTTTTTTCTTTTTTGCTAAACATTTTTAATATTTTTAACGTTTTAAATATTTTTGTTTGATTGGTATGAAGTGATGGTCCGTCTTATAAAACTTATTTTTAATTAGAAAATTAGAAAATTAGAATATGAGGAGGGTTTTCAGTTACTTTTTTAAGAATTATGAAAATGGGGCCAATTTTTAAAAATTTTAGAAATATTGATTCTTAATCTTAAAGAGACTGTAAGCATAATTTCAAGTAAGCCTTCTTGCAAAAATGCCAATCCTGATTCCCAACAGTAACCTTGTAACCTCTGATCAATATTGCAGAAAATTGTGTCTTATTTCTAGATTGAAAATAATTGGTTTTTCAAAATTATAAACAATGAAATCTAATTCATACCTAATCAGATCTTTCACGGAACCTCATTGAATCGGGTTTTTCCATCATTGCCTGGAGGGTCACTTGAAATTATGCTTACAGTCCCTTTAAATGTTGTATTTCTGACATTCCTCAAACATGTAAATGAGCGCCCAAGCCATGATAACGGTGTAATACAGATTTTGTATAATATTGATAAACAGCATCCCGTAGCCCAGTCCCATCAAACCAGGGGATAACCTCCTAAAAATATAGAATATCAGATTAAAAAAATATTTTAAGCTAAATATTTTAGCTTTGACCAGCCATGTTTTAAAAAACCTTCCCCTGTGGTCATGGGAGTTGCCGGAAGAAAATGTTGGTGTTTATTGGATACAAACAAACAGACGGGCAAGCTAAAGAATTGATTCTATGACAAAAACTCAATTTTTTCAACTTTTGTTTATCTTCTAAATTTTAAAGATTTAAGAGATTCAATTCAGGATTTAAAATCTATATTCGCAGCTGAACTTTGTTTCTCCCCCCCTTGCTTCCCAATCATCGCTGATAAGTACCTGAAGATGACCGTACAGCTTGATCCAGCATACTGTCCAAGTGCCATCTCCAGATAAAACAGTGGAAGCCCGAGCAGGAAAAGTGCCAAAAAGTACGGGATAAGAAAAGTGCCGCCTCCATTCTCATAACAAACATATGGAAACCTAGATAATTATAGATAAATAGTTTAAGATTTATTTATTTACTTGTGAAAGAACGAAATATTTTGCGAAATACATTTAAAAGAACAAAATGTTTTGATGATTACATGTAAAAGTACGAATATTTAGCTTATTGCACATTAAAAAACTAAATATTTACATTATTACAATTATTTGACAAATTACATGTAAAAGGACAAAATATTTGGCTAGTAAGAAACTATTTGGCTAATTACATGTAAAAGGACAAAATATTTGGCTAGTAACATGTAAAAGGAGAAACTATTTGGCTAATTACATGTAAAAGGACAAAATATTTGGCTAGAAACATGTAAAAGGAGAAACTATTTGGCTAATTACATGTAAAAGGACAAAATATTTGGCTAATTACATGTAAAAGGAGAAACTTTTTGGCTAATTACATGTAAAAGGACAAAATATTTGGCTAATTACATGTAAAAGGACAAAATATTTGGCTAATTACATGTAAAAGGACAAAATATTTGGCTAATTACATGTAAAAGGAGAAACTTTTTGGCTAATTACATGTAAAAGGAGAAACTTTTTGGCTAATTACATGTAAAAGGACAAAATATTTGGCTAATTACATGTAAAAGGAGAAACTATTTGGCTAATATGTAAAAGGACAAAATATTTGGCTAATTACATGTAAAAGGACAAAATATTTGGCTAATTACATGTAAAAGGAGAAACTATTTGGCTAATATGTAAAAGGACAAAATATTTGGCTAATTACATGTAAAAGGCCAAAATGTTTTTTAATTACATGTAAAAGGAAGAAATATTTTTCACCAAAACCAAACTGCAGTCCTTCAATTATCATAAAGGGAAATTTTCATCTCTCTGAATATCCCAGGGAAAGATTTTACAGGTTCTTTTGAAGTTTAAAACATTTCTTTGCAACTGACTTTAATAGATTTTAAAAGAAAACCCATCAAGTTCAATTTGTGGATTGGAATTGGAGGATATTTTAAAATCAAAATTATTATTTTACAATCGATTTTACTGTTTTACAAAATTTTTTTAATAGATAATATTCAAGTGGAAAAAACACTAAATTCAAAATATGTCCAAGACCAACTGCTAGACCTACAGATATTAGAGAACTGACCTCCAATATTCCCCGAACCAACTGCTAGACCTACAGATGTTAAAGAATTGACCTCCAAATATTTCCAAGACCAACTGCAGACCTGCAGATGTTTAAGAACTGACTCCAATTATTCCTCAGACCAACTGCCAGACCTACAGATGCTGAAGAACTGACTCCAAATATTCCCCAAACCATCTGTTAGACCTACAGATGTTTAAGAACTGACTCCAATTATTCCCCAGACCAACTGCTAGACCTACAGATGTTAGAGAACTGACTCCTAATATTCCCCAAACCAACTGCTAGACCTACAGACGTTAGAGAACTGACTCCCAATATTCCCTAGACTGACTGCTAGACCTACAGATGTTAGAGAACTGACCTCCAAATATTCCCCAGACCAACTGCTAGACCTACAGATGTTAAAGAATTGACCTCCAAATATTTCCACGACCAACTGCCAGACCTACAGATGTTAAAGAACTGACCTCCAAATATATCTAAGACCAACTGCTAGACCAACAGATGTTAAAGAACTGACCTCCAAATATTTCCGAGACCAACTGCCAGACCTGCAGATGTTAAAGAACTGACCTCCAAATATATCTAAGACCAACTGCCAGACCTACAGATGTTAAAGAACTGACCTCCAAATATTTCCGAGACCAACTGCCAGACCTACTGATGTCAGAAAGAACTCTGCATGGTTTCCCCACTGGTTTCTACCGTTGTTTGAAGGCGAGAGTTCTGAGGAATGTTCAGCCCCCTTCAACAAGAAAATTAACAAGATTAAAATTAACTATTTATAACACTATTATTATGGTTCGCAGTATCATAACATGTTTGTACAGAAATTTTCTCTTTATCAAGAAAGTTCAAGCCTTTTCAGATTACATTTTGATGTGATGGTCATTTCTAGATATAATTAAGTTCTGGAAGAAAATAGAGGCCCGGTGGACTGGAGGCCACTATAAAGGGAAATTATTTTTACGGGAGAAATGCTGCAAATCACTCTGAGCACAAATTACTCCGCTGGAGGGATGCTTAGAACACTAATTACTCCATCGGAGGGATTCTAAAAATCCCTTTAGGCACTAACTACTCCATGGGCACTCAGGACACTAATTATATCACTCAAGACACTAAATACTCCACCGGAGGGATGGTGACAACAACTCAGGACACTAATTACTCCACTGAAGGAATGGTAATTAACACTCAGGACACTAATTACTCCACCGGAGGAATGGTAATTAACACTCATGACACTAATTACACCACCAGAGGGATGCTAACAACCACTCAGGACACTAATTACTCCACCGGAGGGATGGTGACAACCACTCAGGACACTAATTACTCCACCGGAGAGATGTTAACAACCACTCAGAACACTAAATTACACCACCAGAGGGATGCTAATACCTCCCAGGACACTAATTACTCCACTGTAGAGATGCTAACAACCACTCAGGACACTAATTACTCCACTGGAGATTTGCTAACAACCACTCAGGACACTTAATTACTCCACCTGAGGGATGGTAATTAACACACAGAACACTAATTACTCCACCGGAGGGATGCTAACAACAACTCAGGACACTAATTACTCCACCTGAGGGATGGTAATTAACACACAGAACACTAATTACTCCACCGGAGAGATACTGATAACCACTTTTTTATCACCCTAGTCCAAGAAAAGGTCTGTTAGAATCCTAAAGACCATCTCTGTGATTGTCCCAAGTGGAAACGTGACCTCTGTTATAACCCCCCAAAAGAAAAGAAAATCACCATCCCAATCTTTGGTTTCATCTCCTTACCCAAAATACAAGTGATTACCTAATTTTACTGATACCTTATCCCCAACTTGACGGTTTAAAGTCTGAACTAGACCCTGCTAACAAAACCAGATACAGTAACTGAAATTGATACCGAGTCCACCTCTAATGAACCACCTCTAAATATCAAGAATCCCATGCCTGACCTTGAACTTGAAGCTCAATCTGAGCATGAATCAGAAGTTAAGAGATATTTTTGAATTTTAAATGATATAAATAATCATAAACTTATCTTAAGCTTGTAATGCTACTTATGTCTGCGATAATCAAAACCCGGCCGGTGTGATCTTTAAATGTTTTAGCACTAATAAATATTTATATCTCAAAAGATAACCATTCAGAAAACATAATTACTCCATCGGATGGATTCTGCAAATGTGGTTATCATCATCCCTTCCTCCGGTGAAGCAGTCAGTGCCCATGGGGTGATTTGCAGCATCCCTCCAGTGAAAATAATTTCCCTTCATTGGCCTCCAGTCATCCTCCAGTCCACTGCAGAGGGAATGCCAATTGTTACTATTTTCTTCCAGAACTCAATATAATTAGCTGTTTAACAGTAAAAAATAAAAAGTAACAGTTAGGTTCAATTGTCTTTCTTTTATATACAGCTAGCTTAACATTATAGCAACAGTATTACTTTATTGCACGTCATAGTAACCATAAGAGATATAGTACACATTACACAATAGTTTCATCAAAAGTATTGACTTTATTTTATTAGTGAAAATGCTGAAACTTTTTTGAAAAAAAATTTGAAAAAAAGTCTAATGTTTTATAGCCTTTAACACTTCCCAGCCACCCCTGAGTGTCCACAAAAAAATTCAGCCCAATCGGTCCAGCCGTTTGGCCGGCTATACTCAAAATATATGAATGTCTTGTTTTATTATATAGATTACCTTCATTTGAACAAATCTTTTAAGCTTCCAAGTCTCCCAAATTAAGAAAATCTTCCTGATAAAACAAATATTTTTAATTTGCAAATCTGCAAAATTCCTTGATGAGTGATGTCACACAAATCTTGCATAGAAAACAACAAGTTTTGATTTGAAATTAATTTGTGGATACGAAAATTCAGGATTACATTCTAAATACACATCACCAGCTGAATGGACTTACCAGTTTCAGTAACCAGACCGAACTTTTAAATCAGCGCATGACATCTATGTTAAAGTTAAGATTCTGCAGAAATTGACAAACAGAAATACGTAACAACACCCTCCCCCTCTTTTGTCGACATTTATTACAACTAGAAATTCAAGGCACTTCGCGCTCTTCTTTCTAGGCTTTTAGGGCGCTTCGCGCCCATCATCTATTTAAATTGTGAACATGTTCTTTTTGTTTACATTTCAAAACAAAGAAGAAGAAATGTTGCGGATTTTAATAAAAAAAATCGTGTATTTTCAAGAATTTAATTTTTTTACAAAATTAAAAACCTTTAAAACACATTTTTAAAAAATTTGTATCATTCATAAACCTTCCCTGTGGTCACGTGATGTCCCACAACAAATTTGGGCCCGATCGGTTCAGCCGTTTTGACGTTTATTGAATACAAACAAGCAAACAGACAAACAGACAAGCCAAATTTATATAGAGATTATTGTTTTTAAAAATGTGCCAATTCAAATATAAAAATCCTCTAAAATTTGAGAATGATCAAATATAGACATTTTAAAACAAAACTTAAAAGTTAAAAATGTTAATGGAAAGGTGCGCGAAGCACCCTAAAAGTCTAGTAAATTACATTTTAAAATAAAAACATATATTTCAAATCAGATTTACCTTTAACTATCTTTCACTTGTTCAGTATTTTTCATTAACTTTAATTAACATTATTTGTATTATTTGTATACACAGTAGACTGCAGAGTGCACTAGTGAACTCGTGTTCTATCCTGTATTAGCATAAAGGTCTATGCTCCACGGTAAAATATGCAAAAACTGAATAAATTTCAACAATATTTTTAACATTGTTAAATATGATTTTAGGGCTCTGGATGTGTTGTGTTCACGTTTCAAAATCTATTGTAATTTTGTATTTTTGGAAGACCCTAATTTGAGGCATGTTTATACATAAGAAAACACACGTATTGTTTCATTACCATACTTTAAGGGGAGTGTTAACGTAATTTCAATGGACCTCTGTGCATAGTTGGTACCTTTGAAACCTTTTTCTGATCAATAATATGGAAGATATTATTGTTTTTCAAAGTTTGAAAGTGTTTAATTCTCAGAATTCCTACGGTAGAGATGTGCAAGTCACTTTTGTAGCGAAACTAGAACTTAAAAAAGCAGTTTTAAAAACTATAAAACATACATTTCTGGTGCAAACTTGATCAGACTAAGCTTTAAAGGGTACCATTGTGAATCGGGCGTTTAAATCTTTAAGCTCACACTCCCTTTAAACATGATCTAAAAGAGGACCTCGTGTATTATATAGGGTTATCAACAAAGAATGACCCCCATAATGCGTAATGACAACGTAGAACTCTTTAATGTTGACAATCTGAAGAATGAATTTTGTCTTTAATCTTTAATGAAGGTTTTCACTTACCGCAATTTCCGATTTTCAAAGAAGCCAAATAGTTAAAAAAGAATTAAAGGGACTGTAAACGTTATTTTAAGTGACCCACTATCTCTAGAGTGGATACTCTATAAAACCAAAGTTATAGTGCAAGGAAAGTTAATTGCAGCTGCGTATATACTCTGCGTACATATTGAAACCAGTTCTCTCTGAGCGGAATTTGTAAACAAGAATTATATTAAATTAATTATAAGCATTAAATTTTGATAATTTGATAATTCACATAATAGTTTCCTATCACCAGAATATATCATTGATTGTTTATGTGAAAGATTGATCCCATGTCAGGATTCGACATCCGTCTTGTGTTTAAATTAGTGCCCAGAGACAGTGCACTGCAGTACAAAAGATGCGTACACCTATGAAATAACTTTCCTTGCTGAAACCTATCGGCGGCAGTTAATTTAATGTTGGACTAAAGACTAAATAAAAATTGATTTTTAAAGTTTTTATTTTTAGATCCAACTCATATAATGTAATGTTGGGATTAAGTTTAAATTACTAAAAGAAATTACGTGTTCTGTGAGAAATTAAATTAATAATCATCCACAAAATATTTAACCTACAGATCTCAGCTCAGACCAATAATGTGTCTAAAACTACAGAATGCAAATTGTTTTTAATTAATGAAAAAAGTCTTTTTTATTTATTGCTGTCATTGTGGGAAAGCTCTCTTTCTAATAAATAATTGTTTCTATTTATAACCTAAAGTAAATTCACATAAGATTGAATGTTTTCAATCATAACTCTTCTTATTGAAGACCTATTGAAATTTTTCTTCAAACCGATTCATTTTCTTTTCTCATATCTTGAACGTTAAATCACAACTAAAGGAGCTACTAGGTATCAAAGTCGTATGAGTAATTTTGCGTTATTTTGACCATCTCCTACACTGTCTAGTTTACGGTGTTTAGACATTAAAGCCGGATAAATTTTCTTTTCTCTTATCTTGAACGTAAAATCACAACTAAAGGAGCTACTAGGTATCAAAGTCGTATAAGTAATTTTACGTTATTTTGACCAACTCCTACACTGTCTAGTTTACGGTGTAGATATAATTATCACTATGTTCTCGACTACTAATTTTGAAAAGATTTTATCACTCTTTTATTAGATTCTTTTAAGGTTTTGCGAGATTAGCAGAGCTAACGTTTACCATAACATTCCTTTAAAGTTGTCCTATTTTTATTTTGACTTCTAATAGAGTCGAAACGACGTCACTATAGTTTCAGTAGAAGTAAATGTTCCCATTTACTGTTATAGCGCTGATGTAAGGATTTATCTCTAATTGGATAATGAGATAGATAGAAAGATAGATGTTACCTACATAATATTTCTATTGGTTCAGAATAGACACCAAACACATGGCTTAACCCTGATTGGATAAGGCGCTAATGGACTAGAGTGCGACAAATTCAACTATTATGTTGCACTTAAAACATAACATATTACATACACCATAACTATAATATATGTAAAGTAGTAATCTCTGTTTGTCTGTCCGATCATAACTCATGAACTCCTTGAGGCCTTGACTGATTTCTGAAATGTAGATTTGATAATTCGATAGAATGGGAATATTCTTATAGTCTGGTTTAGAAATTCTATGTGAGTGGGTTGAATTTTTCTGAAAAAAAACTCCAGACAAAGCTGGGTTTCTAAACTAGTTCACGTGAAACTAAAGTAAAGTGCACCGTGCATCAAAAGATGGAAATCTTTTATGTTTTCAATATTAACTTCTCTAACTGATGAGATATTGAGAAAAATCAAGATTGTTTAATTTTGAATATATAACCGGGTAAATTCGCTGTCGAAGCAGTTATGTCGCAGAATTTGACAATCTCCTACAGTCTAGGTGCAGAGACACAGTGAGTTGTTTACAAATATGATAAAATGTGAGCTAAAAATAATAAATAAAAAATGAAAATCACAAGGTTAGGAATATTGCAGCTGGTGTTTCTTTAATTCTGAAAATTCTGATTCTGGTTTCTATACAGCTAGCTGTAACTCTATCATATATTGGAATTTTTACAATCTTTTAAAAGATTTGAGCAACTGTAATGTGAATGTATTGTAATATAACAGAAATCCGCGATTTACATATATTGCAGAAAAAACTCAAATTCAGTTTCCACGATTATATGTAACTTCCTCTAAATTTTGCGGATGCAATATAAGAGAAAAAGAAGATAATCCAGTTATAAAACAAAACTATGAATAATAATTTCATAGATTAAATGTATTCAAGATCATAATTCTGTCTATAACAATGACCAAGAAATTGTCCGAATGAATGGGAAACCCTGTAGACAATGTTGTTTATGCCAGAATATAGGATGTAACCAGACCACAGAGCAGGAAAATATCTTTTCCGATTGGACCGGAACCTTCAAAATAAAAAATATTTATTTAAAATTATGGGAAGGAAACTTTTGAAGAGAATGAGTTAAACTGATTCTCCTGGCGGATGAACCGATCTCTAAAGCTCAAATTTTAGGTTTGACTAAAAAAGGAACTTAATTATTCCGAAAGAAAAGAACAAGTTTAACTTATTTCAGTCCATTAAAAAGTTTCATCATATTTTGCTTTTTGAAACTCTTTTATGTTTTGAAACAGGTTCATTTTATTTAATCAAAATGCTTCAAATAAAGATTATATATCTACTTAATAATTAGTAATTTTTGTAGAAATCTTTCATCAAAAATGTTTTAAGTAAACTTAGGGAAAACCTAGTGTTTAGGCAAAGCTGAGTTCCCAATCTAATAAATAAAAAAAAATCCTAAACCTGACCTGACACCATTGTCTCTCTGATAATATTTTTAAGGTCTGCGTAAGAGTTATCAATTAAACGAAACCGAGTTTCTGCTTCCTAAATCATAGACTATATATAGTTGATTTACACTTGTATAATATGCATACACAACAAGGGTGTATTATCAGTGTCCCCCGGGCATACCTCCCCCGGTCATACCTCCCCCGGGCATACCTCCCCCGGGCATTAAAATAATTTTTCTCTCTAGAATGTTTAAGCTGTGCGCTGAGCATTTTTTGCTGAAAAGTTTATTTATAAATTTTTTCCCGATGGGGCATCAAAGAAAAACCCAAAGGGGGAGAGATTTTGTTTGATCTTTTTTATCTCAAGATGTCTTAATACTCAATAAATCAAACAAAAAAATTGTGCGGATTTTATTTTATAGTCTTTCAGAACAGTCTTATTAGTTAAAAAAGTAAATCCTAGAAAATCATTAATTCTTTGAGAAGAAAAAAACAGAATCGAGCACTGAATAAAAAATTCTGATAAAGTTAATTTGTTAATTTTCTAAAAAAATGGGGGGGGGGGGAATTTAGTTTACTAAAAAATTAAACAAACTTTTAGACTTGTTGTTGCAGCCACCATTTTCTCTTCCAATGTTTTTCTTCTTTTAGACGTCGTCGTTACATCATCAGATATCTTCCTGGAAAAATCCCATTGCATGATTTGGAATGAAATTATTAAAAAAATTCTGCTTTTAAGAACACTTTAGTACACTATAGTACACTTTAATACATTTTAGTACACTTTAGTACACTTTAGCACACTTAAGTGCACTTTAGTAAACTTTAGTACACTTTAATATACTTTAGCACACTTTAGTACAATTTAGTACACTTTAGTGCACTTTAGTACACTTTAGTACACTTTAGTACACTTTAGTACACTTTAGTAAACTTATGTACACTTTAGTACACTTTAGCCACTTTACACATAATAAGCATAAAGCGGAACAAAAGTTGTTTTTTTTTCAAATTTTTTTATCTATAAATATAAAGTAGTAAGGAAAGTTCCAGGCAAAGCTGGGTTCCCTAGATAGATAGAAATATAGCTGAATATTTCGTATTTTTTAACTGTTACTTATGACTGTTTCAGAATTGTACTGCTTACAATTACAAACTACCAAATCCCTAGGTTTATTTTTAAATTAAAGTTTTGCATTTTTTTGTTAAAAGTAGAAATTAATAAATGTAATTATGTACTTGAGCTGGATCCAAAGATGCTCGATATCTGTATTGTTGAGACTTTGACCAGCGCAAACAGAGTTAGCGGTCAGCCAGGTAGAGAATATATTCAGCTTCTGAAAACATACGTAAATATACGCAATGTTGAGCATACGAGTTTTTACGTAAATACACCTATAATGCGTATACATATAAAAACGCTTTATCATTTTTACGTTTTCGGGTTTTAGGGACATTCAGATTCTGAAAACAGAGTTTGCAGTCAGTCAAGTGAAGAATATTTTCAGGTCCTGAAAACAAAGTGAGCGGTCAGCCAGGTAGAGAAAACAAAATATATTGAGTATCAAATATCAAATTTAATATTGTGTTTGCTTTATAAATATGCTTTGGTAATTTTCGTTTTCTATAATCTCGTTTCAAAAAAACTTTCTTCCTTACATTAGAATAAAGTATGTCAGTGCTTAGTATTTCCCCCTGGAGCAATCCAACTTCTTCCTTTTCTTTCTCTAGATTTGATTTTGCTATTGCTCTAGCATCCTCCAAGTTTTCTAGAAATGAAAGAAAAATCATCCATTTTTGGGTAACTATGCAGCAAACATTAATATTAGACTGTTTCTAAAAAACCCTCAAAATTAGGTAATAATGAAATGTGAATAAAATATATCGAAACTTTTCTTTTTCTATGGTTTAAAATCATTGTGAGAGGTTTAATACTTAAAATTTTTTTTCCATTTAACAAAAAATGGGTTCAGATTTAATCAATTGCGTGAAGTAGCTGAACCGCGTAGACGTAGTTCAAATACTTCATTTGTGCGCTGAAGAGAAGTAGTTGAACCATGACTGCGCGGTTCAACCATTTCTTGCTATTCAATAAACCTGGTTCAACCATGTCTTACTATTCAATAAACCTGGTTCAACCTTGTCTTACTATTCAATAAACCTGGTCCATGATATGAGATTAATTTTATTTCTATGAAAAATAAAAATGATTATAATATTTTCAATACCCTTTAAGAAATGTAAAAATTCCTTTCAATAGATGTATTTGTAGATGGAGTTATCATATTTATATATGGTTACATAAATTTAAATTTAAATTGGCATAAGGGGGGGGGGGGCAGCCACCTTTTTCCATCTAAATGAAGATGGCAAAAACAAATGCTGTGAAAATTACATCATATCTTTTCTCAGAAAGAATCGAAAATCAAGTATTTTGTTTTTAAATTTCTTTATTCTAATATTTTACAATTACAGGAATTTACCTAAATGCTGTTGAGTAGTGTTCGTGTTGGATTCGATTAACCCATCCTCTAGAAAATAATACAAACATAATATTGTGAAAATAAAATTTTGAATCCGGAAAACCGTCTTATTTTACTAGTTTTATTATCGCAGAAAACTGATTAAAACACCACAATATGATTTATTTCTTTTTACCTTTCTTGGTAAATTTTTCTCTCTCTTTTTTTCTCTTAGTACACCCTGTTTAAAAACCAAAATATCTTTTTATCTTTTATATTCTACTTTAATGGACCACAAATTTAAATTTATATTTCTCGATCTCATTGCTCTCATTGCTCGTATATAAAACTGTGAACTTAGATAGAAGGAGAAGGTTCAATTTACTTGACATTACTGCTTCGACTTTGTGACCTCGGAGGTTTGATTTTAAACACAAGTAAATTTATCCGAGGCCGAATTTAAAGAATTTGAGCCGCGGCTCAAATATGGTTCGATACACTTTAAATATTGTATTCAATGTTTCAATATTTAAGCTGGCGCTCAATTGAAACCGGTTTTTGCGGGATTTGAGACGCGGCTTAAATTCATCAAATTCAGACACCGGTTACAAATTAGAAATTCAAAACAATTCAATATCTCTTCAACCTGAGAAGTTTTAAACTTGTGCTTGAAAAAAGGTTATATTTTAATCTAACGTGCACGGTGGAACTTACTGCTTAAAGAACATATTCGCCAAAAATAATTACGTAAAAAGTTCGGAAAAAGGCAGACTTTCAAATATAAACTTTAAAATTATTGTTTAAATTAGTCGTTCTCAATAAATTATTAGACAGAAAAGGACTATCAAAGGATAAAATTTAACGATTTACTAAAAATTTTACTTGTTTATACGAATTAAACCATACTAGGAAAAAAATAATGTTTGTATGTCTTCCTAAATCTTGAAGGTTTGCATCTGTACAGTACAAGGCCTGTATGTACAGGAGTACAGAGAATGCCACCCGCATTTTATGAGAACATTTTTTCCACTAAAAACTGAATCTAGCAACATGAGGGTATAATCTCGAGTGTTTTGAATTTGGCAGGTATTTTGCTGATCAGTCAGTTTTAAATAAAATATAAAATGTCTACGATGTGACCTGGTAATCTATGGGCGTGTGCTTCTATAACTTTACAAGGAAATTAAAAGACTTTTCAGTAATAACCAGAAAACTCTGAAGACGACGTTTAGAATCAAGTTATAACTTAAAAATATGAAATGAGCATGAGACACAGCAATTGTAAATAAAATCACAAATGTAAGCAAAAAAGTAAATTTCCTTAAAATAAACCAAAATATATGTCTTGAAAAATTTAGCTCAGAAACGTCAAATTCATAAAAAATCTAACAAATTATAAGATAAAAAATCGGTTTTTGGGGAAGACAGAATATAAAAACCTAGTTTTGTAGCCTTAAATAGAACATTTTTTGAAATATCGAGAAACGAACAAATACAGTCGATATTTAACGGTTCAAACTTTAAGATGCAGCTTATGATGCCCATGACAACATGTTTTGAAAAAAAATCCCAAACAATTAGTTTTGTCAATTACCATTGTGATCTCTATTCATTAGATCGTTAATTCTTCCATAACTTTTGCTTCTGTTTAAATTTTTCTGTTTTAAAACTTTCAAAAATATTCATATCATTCTTTTCTTGTTTTACCGCCCTATATTTATCATTTAAAAATGCGAAAACTGGCGGAAGACTTAGATGCTGTGGCATGGAAGACCGTACGGTTGTGACTGTCTGAAGACAAAAATCTAATATGTGGCATGGAAGGGAAAAATGTTGTCGCGTATGGCCTCCTGCCTTCCCCTGCTCTACATACATATTAAAATGGTGTAGTTCAAATTTGTTTAGATTTTTTAAATATATAGTTTTACATATAGGGTGTCTCACAAAACATTACAGTTGGTGAATAGTTTTGAATGTCTTCCTCCATATTCTGTATTAGATATAAAGACTTATGCAGTTTATTTCGTTTAAAAACTCATTCAGTAAAATTAATTAAGGACTGCATTTTTTTGTTATTCGCTATGGTATCAAACAACTAAACAAATTAGGGAAGAGGACATTTTAAACTATTCACCAACTGTCATGTTTCGTGTAACACCCTGTAAGAGAAAATGTAAAAATATGCAAAATTACGAAAAAATAGACGACATTGATCATTACTCATTACACAACATATTTATCATTTCAGCTATTACGTAATCATCGAATCCTTTAACTTATAAATTATTTATTCAATTGTATTCTCTGATACAACTTTAATAGTAATTACAGCCATTCCCTCAATTTAAAGCTTAATTTTACTATCTTATTTTTCCATTTCCCTGAATATAAATCTCCCACGTACGTTTTTTAATTCATGAAACGGCATTTGAAAATAATTTTAAAATGAAGAAATTGTTATTTTTTCTGATCAGGCAAAGGTTTTAAGGGCAACCTTGGTAGTTAGGACATTTCACTCAATAAATGAAATTAAATGTACAGTCCCTTTGATTTAGACGGCACAGGAGAATACTGAATAAGTTTACTTTCCGAATCATTACAGCTAAATTTTAGTCAGTGGTAAATTTAAATTTAAAGTGTTACAACATTATTTAAGTTTTAAATATTCCCTTTTCTTTTTAACGGGATTTTCAACAATACCCTTCACAGGTACGATTAAAACCTTTATATGAATAGATATCAGTTTTTTTTCATTTGTGGGTTCTTTGCGAATATTACTTGCGTCATGCACATTTCTAGCTTATAAGAAGCATTGGAGAAATTTACAGAATAAATACTTTTAGCAGAGGAAAACCGACGTTATCTTCTATGGTTAATGTAGTCCTGCGACCAAATTTAATGAAAAGGAAACCTAGTTGATAAAATAAAACTTCTTTGCTACTTGACCCGGCTCACGGGAGAACTGGTTGAACCCAAGTAATATTAATGTTAGTGCCATGCGTCCTGTGTTTAGATAAAAAATATAGCTATAAATATTTATTTAACAAATAAATCATACAACTAAAATTATTTTTTAGTGAGAAATTAAGATTTAGAATCAAGTCCAAGATCTGATCCTGGATTAGGATCCAGTCCCTGATCAAGTTCTGGATAAAGATAAAGTTTTTGATCTAATCTTGGATTAGGATCCAGTCCCTGATCTAGTTTTGGATAAAGATCAATTTCTTATTCTAATCCTGGATAAAGATCAAGCCCCTTATCTAATCCTGGATTAGGATCCAGTCGCTGATCTAGTTCTAGATAAAGATCAAGTCCCTGATTTAGTTCTGGATATAGATCAAGTCTCTGATCTAGTCCTGGATAAAGATCAAGTCCCTGATCTAATCCTGAATAAGGATCCAGTCCCTGATCTAGTTCTGGATAAGGATCAAGTCCCTGATCTAATCCTGGATAAGGATCCAGTCCCTGATCTTGGTCTGGATAAAGATAAAGTCCCTGATCTAATCCTGAATAAGGATCGCCTCCTCCTTAACAAGGAACTCAACGACCTCTTCGTCCAGTTCAGACTCGTCAAAGTTGTCGGTATCCACTCCGTTCCTGAACAATAACATGGTTAAGAGAAAAAGAGGCTTTTTTTGTTCCGAGAATAACACCAAAACATTAACAAAAATAAATAAAATGAATTTAAAAAAAATGAAGAATGTTTTAAAGTTACATTACATTTTTGTTGATTTGTATTATTTCTATTTAAATAAGTAAAAATCAAAAAAGCTGAATTTATATTTGACAAACCTGAGGGCGAGCCTGTCCTCGATGGTGTCTGCGTACTCGATCACATGCTTCTCCCTGTACTCACGGAACTTGTCCATGGCGGCTCTCCTCTTGTCAATCTTAACACAGTTGAGTTTATTAATTAGTAATCTCTGCTTGTTTGTTTGTCCGATCATAACTCTTGAACTCCATCACCGATTTGCACCAGTTCCTAAGCCAGTATTTTGTAAAATAGTAATCTCAGTTTTTTGTCTTTTTGTTTCTTTATATGTCCGATCATAACTCAGGAATCCCTGGAGCGATTTGCCTCAAATTTTAACTGAGGAACTCAGTAGAATAAGGAGAATATTTTTAGCTTAGATTGGAAATGTAAGGCTGACTAATGAGGGAAACATTAAATGGCTAATAAAAGCTAGATTCCCAAGCTAGTATACATGTTGAATCGTCGATATTTTCAGGAGAAAATAGAATATTCTTCCGAAATCAATATTTTTCGACATTGCAGGGGTGTATATAATTCCATTTCCCCCCCACCCCCCCTTGGGGGGGGGAAAGAAATCAAATACGATTTAAACCTACGTCACTTGTAAAGGCTTCTGTAGAGGCTTTTCATAGAACAGAGTGGGCTGAAAACATCAGTAAAGACATGCTAGAAACAAGTGCCAGAGTACATCTAGAGGAGCTGGTTGAAAATCTTATAGAAGACAAACTTCAGGAGAAGTTTGAAGTTCAGGATAGCCTTCTGCAGACATTCATTCCATTCCTGACATTTAAACAAAATTCTGATCAGTAGTCCTTGGAAGTGTTATATCAACTGTTCCAAAAGAATTATAGGCAGAGTTTGTCAGCAGAGTCTAGATTCTTTGACCTGTTTGAACATGTTAATATCAAATCATATACTGAAGCCTACTGTGAAAGTGTGGGATCCCACATGAATATACTAGTTAATAAGGAAGAAACCTCACATCAAGCTTTTTCTCAGGAGAGCTTATCATAGCTTTAAATGCTCCTCCTCTTCACATCTTAAAGAAAAAAATCATCACTGAAATCAGGGATGAGTTTATGAAGGAGATGACCTTTGTAAGAAAGATGGACAACGCCAGACTTTCCAGACAGTACTCCAAACTGAAGTTTGCAGATCTATCTCTTGGACAGCTACGGAAGAACCATGAAAATCAGTCTCATGTCCCTGTAGACTTTTTTATTGTTTAATTAAGTAAGAATAAGTAATTTTTTTTAGATGATACTTTAATAAATCTAACAAGAGTTTAATATATGTATTTTTAGTTGTCGAGTTTGAGGAAGGAATTCAAAAAAAATTTAGAGGGGGGGGGGGAAAGAATAAAAAATATGGAATTATATACACCCCTGCGACATTGTTAAGCATTTGGCAGGCCGCAAGATTTTAATGCAATAAAATTTAACCGTCTACTTGGTGAGAGAAAAATGAGAAAAAACCTTTTTAATCCTGATAAATAAATAATTAACTCACCAGCTCTTTACTTGCTTTACTTTGTCTCATCTTATCCTTAGCGTTGAACTGGTCGCTGTACTTCTTCAGGTTCTTCTTGATCTCCTTCACCTGCTTCTCAGACAGCAGGGTCTGGGGTCGGGGTCTCCACAACAACTAAACAAAATATTGTATAGTTTGGGTCATCTTGCTCAATGATTGTTTAACAAGGACGGCCCATATCATCAATCCAAACCATTACTGGGTAAATCATAGACGTCCTGCTTCCGGTTTTTGTGGCTTAAGTGAGTACAAGGGTGTACTTTTATATAATAATTATTTATTTTCAAATAAGTTATTTGTTTGCGCTGAATGAGTTTTATTTGCTCAATCTGGAAAAAATACAAAAATAGGACATGAAAATGCAAGTTTCATCATTTTCCTTACTTTCTACACAAAATTTATTATTTCTCCTAAAAAAATAATTTATTTTTCCCAATTCCTCGAAAAAAATCTGAAAGTTCAGCGCAAACTTCTAAAGAAAATAATAATTTTCTGGGAAGATATACACCCCGAGTGAGTACTGACTATACTTAGCGAGTACTGACTATACTTAATCAGTATCGGACCATGGTCTTGCAGCTTGAGAGAGGTTTAAATTAATGAGCAAGGATGAAATGTCCTGCTACAGTGGACATCAGTTGCTTATTGATAAGGATCCGGATACTGGATCCGCACAGTAAAAAAAAATTGATCCGGATCCACGTCATGAATATTTCTTTAAGATTTACTTATTTATTTCGCGTTTATAAGGAAATTTTTGATAATCTTTTTTGCAACATATCAGATTAGGGTATTAAGCGCAACAAGTTTTTTTCCTCGCAGTATTTGGTTGATATTTTACTCCTTGGATCCGGATCCAAGAAGCCAAAATGTTGCGGATCCAAGGGATCCAGATCCGGATCCTAAGCACTGTCCTTGGGTCTGCATAAGATGAAGATAACTGCTTGACCCTGAGATTCACAATACAATAGTTCTGACTACATAAATTCTCAAATTACCTGACAGAATTTATCAATGACAGCTCTCTTCAATATTTTGCCCTGGAAGTTCCAAATCCAGTAAGCATTGTCAACCTTGTGACCCCAGAATGAGACTCCAGTAACAACATACCTAGAACAGGGCTGTATACAACACCAAAATTACATTAGTATCAAAAGAATAGTTCTTAGGCTGATTTCCTCCATATATTGATTTTCCTTGGAACCTTTTCCTTTTCCTGAGATGAAATTTAAAGAATTTGAGCCGTGGTTTAAATCCGCCAAAACCCGGTTTAAATAAAGCGCCGGCTTAAATCTTGAAACATTTGATACAATTTTAAGTGGAACCAACCATATTTAAACCGCGGCATAAATTTAAACCGCCGCTCAAATTCTTTAAATTCGGCCACTGATTACACTTTTAAACTATCTTAAATAACTTTCCCTTGTAAGGCCTTTGAAAAAAAAACCTTTTCTTTTTCTCTCCTTTCACACGTCTTCCCTATTTTGTTTGGTCAAATTTTAAATTATTTCCCCCGTACTGTACTGTACATACCTGCCGGTAGGGTCCCACTCGACATCTGTACACATGAAGTGCTCTCCAAGCCCCATGGTAGTGAAGTCGCTGGTGTCGATGAACTCCAGAACACCATTCATAGATCTAGTAAATAAAGGAATGTAAATCATTTAATAATTTTCAGTCAATAATTTTCCATGGACTAGGAATCATTATAAAATACAACAATCCATCAGTAACCTCATCTACAATCTATTTTTTACATCATTCCATTAATCCATTATTCCATTAATCCATAAATCCACTAACCCATGAACCAATATGTACCTTAGTCCGGCCAGAATAACAAACTGCCCTGTTGGAGACCAGAAAATATGATTCGCCGTTTTCCGTTCATATTTCTTCACAAGGATCGGAGTCTGACCGGCCTTCAGCTTATAGAAGGATACACTGAAGGACTGAGATTCTCCGTGTATAACTGCAAACTTGGAACCAACAGGTTCCCAAGAAAATGCATGAACTGACTCTTTAACCTGGAATTCAAATAATGAAAAGTATTGGTAGTAGGATCTTTTAAAGGTTTATTTGAAGTTGTAGTTAAACATATTATGCTTCAGAAACAAAGTATTAATTATTAGAATTATACACTTAAAACAGAACATGTAAATCAGATAAAGGTTTCAAGGGTACCGTTGCAGTGGCTTGTATTAGTTGTGACTCATATTTTGCCACCCTCCCTCCCCATTCCCCTTCTAGAATCATATTTTTTCCCCCTAAATCCACATTTAATAAAACGGGTATATTTTACAGGTTTCTCGAAGACATTTTTTGGATTTTATTAGTATAAAGAAGGTCAACTTCAACGCCCCTCCCTGTTTTTTTTTTAATAATTTCTGATACTGTTTTTAAGTTTTTTATAGGTTTTTTTTAAAGTTTATTTCTGTTTTTTCCCCTTTCAATCTTCCCCTTTTTAATTTTTTCTTCATGGCCTCCTCCCCCCTACCCCACCCAATGAAAGCTCAGAGAAAAACATACACCCCTGTACTGTTGTAAATTGTGCATTGATATGTTTGAATGGTGAGTCACTTAAATTACGCGTACAGTCCCTTTAAAAACTGATCCGAGTTTGAATGAGATAAACATGATTTTGTTTTGAAGAATTACACGTTTTTAGAAAAAAACACAATAAATCAGATTGAGATGGCATCGTTTTAATGAATCCCTAAATTACGATAACAGTCCCTTTAAATCTTCTGACATTGCGAAGTATTACCTCTACACTGTCGACAGGGATCTGTTTCTCAAGCATATGGAAGATCTCGAAGTTGCAGTACATACCAGCGTACTTGTTATCGCCGGCCTTCTCTACACTCAGGATCTTCTTGTACCGGTCAACCTAGAAAATTAAATATCTTTGTAATTAATTATTTTTACAAGCAGCAGAAGCGCTTACGATATTTTCCTAATATCAACCCAGTCTATAAACAAAGGTTCTAAACTCCAACCATCTAACTACAGACCTGTCGGTCTAGCCTCTTTTCCTTGAAACATCTTTGAAAGTATGTTAAGAGATAAGTTCATTACACATCTTACTGACAACAATCTCATAAATTCAAGTCAGCATGGATTTATGTCCAATACATCTTGTGTCACAAATCTCCTGGGGTTTTTGGAGACTGTGACAGGCTATATACTCAATGTAGATAAGGAATTAAATCTAGACCGTAATTATCTCAACTTTTTCAAGGCTTTTGATACTGTACCCCATCTGAGATTAATTGAAAAAATCAAGGCTCATTCTATTGGTGGAAAGGTTCTGAAATGGATTGAAAACTGGTTACAACACACACACAAAGAGTAGTACTCAATGGATCTTCAACACCATGAAAGGTGCTATCTGGATTTTCTCAGGGTAGCTTGTTTGGTTCATTAATGATATTGATAAAGCTGTGTGTCAAAATCAATAAGAAGTTCACTGACGATACAAAAGTAGGACACATAGTTATGAATCACACTGACTCGGAAACCCCCTTCAAACAGCTCTCAATAATCTGTCCAGCTGGGCGGATTTAACACTGATAAATGCAAGGTGATGCATATGAGAAAAAGAAATTCTGAAGAACCAGGTCCTATCTAGAACAGAAAAAAGATATTGGAGTAATAATCCATAAATCCCTGAAGCCATCCCTCCAGTGTAAGGAAGCATCCAGAAAAGCAAATGGTGTTTTGACCCAAATTGCACGCTCCTTTCATTACATAGACAGAAAAACCTTCTTAAACCTGTACACAACTAATGTTAGGCTTAATTTTTCTACCAAAAAAGCTTGAACCACATATTAAATTTAACACCAGAATGGAACCCATGGCTTCAACAGGATCAAGAAGTGCTTGAAAATGTACAAAAAAGAGGTGTCACCATAATAGACCGGACTACACAGCAATGAATAGAAACAGGTTGAAAGAACTGCGAATGCCGAGTCTGAAGGACAGGCGGATTCAGTTTGACATGATCCAGACTTTCAAAATTGTTCACGAGATTGATAGGGTTGAGTTTGTAGAAGACAGAGGAACACGACTTTCAGTGGATCCCTTGGACATTAAAAGTAAACTATCCAATACAGAGTTGAGAAGAAGATTTTTCTCTAATCGTACAGTTCAATAATGGAACAACCTGACAAAAGAAATATTTCTAGAATATCTGAAAGATGTATATCCAATGTCCCTATCAGCAAGCGCTTTATTCAAGACTAAGAAAAACAAGTAAAAGTATGTGGAAGTGCTACAAAAAAAAAAAAAAATTTCAACCAATTAAAAAAGCCGCCTCTACTTAAAACTGGAATTTATTCATTTAATGACTGAATATACGAAAAGTGTTTAATTTCTATCGGAGGGCACCCTGGGGGGGAGGGGGGATCCAGATCCGGATCCTAAGCACTGGTTTAAAGATAATATCTGTTTGTCTATGTGGGTTCAGAAGATAATATTTGTTTGTNTTTCAAGAAAATATAAACCCCCAGATCAATTCTTATTAACTGTAACAATTTCTGTTTCCTTGTTACCTTGACACAGAGATAGTCTCCACATTTTTGCCAGTGCATCTTACAGTCCGCTACATTGAACAGATTCTTCACCCTGATCTCTTTTCTGTGCGGGATCTCAAGCAGCACAACACGAGCAGGCACATCCTAGTATATTTCACAGTGTACAGTACAGTACAGCACAGTACAGGACAAACAGTACAGTACAGTACGGTACAAATAGTACAGTACAAACAGTACAGTACGGTACAGTACACAACAACATCAAGTACATGAGAGTACACAACAACATCAAGTACATGACAATTCAAATAACACAATTTTCATAATTTTAACTCTAAAATCTATTATTCTTGTTGTTTTTGTCGAATGGATAAATTTACCTTATCTTCAGCAACCCAGTAAGCCAGTATATTCTCCTTAGGACTCCAGGAGAAATCTTGCATTCCAGGTACCTGACACAGCAATCAATCAATCAATCAATCAATCAAACCAGGAATCAATCAATTGATTAATCAAATAATCAAATCATCAAGCAATCAATCAATTGATCAATCAAATAATCAAATCATCAATCAATTTATCAATAAAAAGTTCACAAAAATATTGATAACGGAGATTTTAGGGCGCCGCTCCCCTTCCCCTTTTCTAAAATAATTTTGGGTTTTAACTGTTGCTCTTTAACGGGAGTGTTCGCGAAAATGAAAGGGGGTAATAGACTGATCACGAATTGAATTTTGGTTTGGGCGCTACAAATTTCTACTTCTAGATGTTGCGTATAAATGGGAGATGATGGTTAAAAACGTCTTGTACCCAAAATTCAGTATACAACCAAAGGATTTCACAGAGCTGCAGTATTCCACCCAAACCGTAAATAAGTCAATTAAGATTAACACAAATCATTCAGGTACTACACATTTTAAATGTTGAATACATTTTAGGGCATTCGTATGTAGTTTAAATATCTTAATCTTTCTTATTTTTAATGCATGTATATAATGAGAAGTCGAGATGAAATCTTTTTTGCCGAAAGGTGTCTCTAGTTGTCGATATTATTTGAAGTTTCCCTCATTTGTGCTAGCAGCTCTTTCAGTTTTACTTATGCAATATAATGATGACCCAATCATTGAATGTACACTAAACATTATCACGGCATAACAGCTCATTATTGAGGAAGGACAAAAGTGTGATATAATACATCGTAGCTTTTACAAAAAGGGTCACCTTGATACTTTTCTTGTCCAGTAGACCAAAGGAAGGTGTCTCGTATATAGAGAGGGTTCCGTCCTGAAATAACATTAAATATAATTTGATAAAACTGAAGTGCTTAGGATCCATTTCATTTTAATCCGCCCTGAAAAAATCCGAATCCGGATTCAGATTATTTAACAAAAGAAGAATTTTTAAACGCTCATATTTTATGCTAAAAATTGATGTATTAACCATTCAGAGATAAGGAAAATTGTAATAATCTTTTAACTTTAAAAAGCATTTAAATTTGGATAATGAGAGCAAAAAGTCTATTTTAACAGTTAAGTAATTATTTTGCCCCTTGGATTTGGATCCGTGGATCCGCATATTTTTGCGGATCCGAGTCCGAATTTAATGAATTTGAGCCGCGTCTCAAATCCCCAAAAAACTGTTTTCAATTGAGCGCCGGCTTAAATCTTGGAAACATTGAATACGATTTTAAGTGGAACGAACCATATTTGAGCCGCGGCCCAAATTACTTAAATTCGGCCTCCGGATCCTAAGCACTGAAAAATAGGTTTAATTCAGTGATGACGTAAGTCATTTTGAAAGTGTGAACAATTATTTTTTTGTCTGTAAGTGTACATTGATAATACTAGTCTAATTCGTCAATTATTTTCTTTACATATTTGGTGGTGAAAAAATCAAGTTCTTCCCTTATACGACGCTTTGATACTTAAAGTTAATAATGTTTTCCCTACAATAGTAAGTGATTAAGGCTTCTTTTTATTGTCACCTTGGACATCCTAGCGAAGAACTTGTCATCATGGCTCCACTTGAAGGCAGGTATCATCGGGGGATCCTCGGCATGGAATGCACGTTTCTTAGCTCCAGTCCTAGATATAATTTACAATCAAATAAGTGTTAAATCTGAAAGGCTGTAAAGCTGTGGCCTGGAGTCCAAGCCAGGCTAGAGCAAAATTTATAAAGCCGGAGTTATAAAGATCTTAAAAATAAACGATGCTTTTAAGAGAAATCAGTTTGGAACACAGTTTACAATGGCAGTAGTAATCTTGTATCCCAGATAACAATGGCGGTGGTTACCTTGTATCCCAGATAACAATGGCAGTGGTTACCTTGTATCCCAGATAACAATGGCAGTGGTTACCTTGTATCCCAGATAACAATGGCAGTGGTAATCTTGTATCCCAGATAAGAATGGCGGTGGTAATCTTGTATCCCAGATAACAATGGCGGTGGTTACCTTGTATCCTAGCTAACAATGGCGGTGGTTTACCTTGCATCCCAGATAACTATGTCAGTGGTAACCTTGTGTCCCAGATAACAATGGCGGTGGTTACCTTGTATCCCAGATAACACTGGCGGTGGTTTTACATTGTATCCCAGATAACAATGGCGGTGGTTACCTTGTATCCCAGATAACGATGGCGGTTGGTTCCTCTGAAGGGGGACCACGTGGGCTGAATGTTACAACGTACTTCTCACAAGGAGAGAAATCAATAAACTGAAAGAAGAAAATATAAATACTATGATTTAAATTTTTATTTCAATGCGATTTGTTTTAATAATCAAATATTACAACATTTTAACTTTAGAATAAAGATCGAAGTACATGTATTCATTTATTAAGTACAACTGTTGGATAGTTTGTTGTTTAAAACATAAGACACATTTATCAATTTAAAAGAAGATATTTTAAAGGGAAGTAAAAAATACAAATAAATAGAAATAAGATTTTGAAAAGTAAAGAGAAAAAAGAAATCAAGAAATTTAAATCCTTGTTTTTAAAGCAAAAATTAATTGATTTTTGGTTCTGACATTTATAATTGAAAGTATGGCATGCATTGCTCTTTCATCATTTTAAAAACTATGTTTCCCCATTTTAATGGTGGAAAGGTTGTTATTATGTTGTAATATAAAAACTAAGATAAAGAAAGATATTTAGAATGAATTATTAACCTCAACTCCAAAATGTGCAAACTTCTGTAGTTGTCCAAACTTATCTCCTCCCCACAGAGCAATTCCTCTAAAAAGAGCATGAGGGTGAACCAGAATAATGTTCTGGAGTGGTTGACAGGAATATAAACCAAGCCTCTCCCAACCCACATAAAATACACCTCCCCCCCCC